CTGGTTGATGTCTATCGCAGGCTTCCGCATGTGAATTACTTTATGCGATTATTCTTTATGAATGCCCGACGCTAGAGCTTCCTTGGTTATTATTCCTTCTTGGTTGGTTGAGTTGATCGTGTAATGGCGCAGTGGCGCAGTAAAGAGATATCCCTTAATCTTGCATTTCGGGAGCAGCTGGAAAAGCTGCAGCAGTGAGGTCGAATTTGTCTCTACCCGCATCATCTTGGCCGCTTCAGTTTTTATCCCCACGTGATAAATCCGACGATGAAAATGTACATCCGCCAGGTCGTTGGACTGTGGATAATCTAGCCCCAGTAGTTAGCAGCCATGTCGACAAAACCCCAAACAAATTTTATTTCCTTATTGCTTCCGCTTTATTCGCTTGATGCTTCCGACAATGTGTTCGTCCCCACACACAAACAGAAATCTGGATGAAATAGGTGTCTTTACAGAATTCACGCGGCTAATTAGAAAATCGAATTCAGCAATTAGAAGATTGAAATGCCTCCACAGATGCCTGTCAGCTTCTATGGCAACTTGACTAAACCTGCAACAAGACAAGAGCAGACCACATAAAAGTGGCGTCTCACTTCCCTCACTCATACCTCTAATCAAAGATTTGAAGGTTACATGAGATTCAGTTGATTGTCTCTGGCTTGATCCTTTGCGGTAAAGTGTTTGAAGACTACTGGAACTTATGAAGTTGACCAGCAGGTCAGGATCCAACTCTTGAAGAAAAACGCTGCTGAAGGGAACTAATTAGCCTTTGGAGACGTTGGGTGATTGTTGAAGGACTGAACACAATGCTACTCGAACAGACTATATGCAAACCAAATGGTATAACATTAGTATCTGAGACGCGTTAAACTGTTTTCAACTCTCAAAGGCCAGCTCTCTAACTAAGACGTACCAGAGCATCTTGCTGTTAATTTAAGATTACAGAGGCTTTCTTTCGCTTCATGGTTATTACATTTATCATCTTTAGAGCAATATAAGCACTGGGATGCTTTTGTTGGGCGTTGATCCATCCCACTACATTGACATCTAAGTGGCAGAAGTCGAACGTTAATGTTAACCACAATAGTTTTACAACCGGGTGTAAGATTAGTACTCAATTCTTCAATTATCATGAGTGATCTAGTTGAAAGATATTCTTTTGGCAATTCGATCGATAGCTCCAGTGAACAAAATCACAAGTTTTCCAAAGTTTGGAACCATTTATCGACCGCGAATGACTAGCTTAACATCTATTACCTCCTGTGGAAGAGCTCCTTTATCGCATATCAGAAAGGGGCTATTGGTCGTTAGCCACTTTTAGTATGTCTATCGACACGTATCGCGCTATTGAATTACTTTAACAACGATATCAAGAGAGAATTATGATAGATTCCTGAAACACTTCTACTTGCGAATAAAGTTTTGTATAGCTTAAACGTTTGTCGATTTTTTAAAAGCAGGCAATTGCGTGGATCATAGTGCAACAAATCCTTATCACAAAGCATTGCATTTTTACATTTCTTTTTCAAGTGTGAACAATATCTGCGATTACGGCTCTATCGAGTACACGCCCAACAGATAAGCTGGCGCCGGCGCGGAGGAATGCCCAAAACAGAAAACACACTTAAACGAGGCCAGGCTTGTCTGCCATGTCGCAAAAAGAAGGCTGTAAGTGCGATTCGAGGCGTGTAATCTCCATCTCAACATCGTTCAGCGCTGTGACGGAAGTGAGTGGAGAAGTTCCCGTCAATACGCAACGGTAATGGTATTCAGACAAGCCTTATTGTGGCTTGTGCGCCAAAGCAGGCCATCAATGCGCTTATGAAGACCCAACTCAACCATCTGCTCGGAGAAACAAGATCACCATGTTAGAAGAGAGAATTCGTGGGTTGAATTCTTGCTTGATAATAAATGCAGCTTAAAACAATCTCAACAGGCCAGCTTGAGGAGCAACTAGCGTCTCAGCATATCGGCGATGAAATCACCGGGGGTGTATCAAACGAGTTGTTCGATGGCACTTTCACTGTTGATGGATCTGATGAAGGATCGTCAGCGGCAGCGCTTTTTGATTCGTCTCGGCAAGGTTACACAGCGCTAACTTCTTACAGCGGCGTGCCTGTGATGACCCAGCCTCCACTCAGCAATTCTCTAGCTACGCTTGACTGGCCATACCCACCACTAGACCTGACATTGCATTTAGCGGAGATATTCTTCACCTGCTGTCCTTTTGTTGCCGCTCATTTGCACAAGAAAACCTTCTTTGAAAGAATATTGCTTCCGTGGTCACACTCTGATGCACCTCACCCATCTCTAGTTTACGCCATCTGTGCTGCAGCTAGTCGGCATTCCCCTCGAGTTACCTCCCCTCCCGCCTCTGAAAGTGGATCAAACTTATTTCAAGGTGGTGGAGACACATTTTTCGATATGGCAGTCTCGATGACGTCGAGGTTCTTGGAGGAAGATGCCATATCTGACTCCAAACTGTCTCATAAGGCCAAGTCTTTGAGTGCAGTGTTGGTATTGGTTCATCTGATGCACAGTGAAAACAAGTGGGCAGATTTTCATCGATACAATGCATTGGGGATGAGGGGTATGATTGCGTTGAAGTATCATGTCGAAGTTAGTCTAACGAAGAGTCGTTCACAATTGTTACCTCTGAAGAACAGCTTTGATCGAGAGCAGAGGAAGAGAATACTATATACGTTTTGGGTGTTCGATGTTATCTACGCTAACAAAAGTGGATCGTACCCATCTAATCTAAGCTCTCATCAGATTTTGTTAAAGCTCCCTACACCGACTGATCGATTTATTCACGCCTCCAGTGATGATTATATTCCTGACGACGAGCCATACCTCAACGCGCCAAATCTACTAGAAAATCATGATAGTGACGATGGATTCCACTGGGTCATCAAAGCCACAGCTTTGCTCGACAAAGTCAATGAATTCCGCCATCAATCTATCCTAGACGTGATTAGTAATCCCAGCTTGAAATCAGCAAATCAGCTACCATCTTTCAGTGTATTAGATATGGCTATCATGCGCTTCAGATCACGTTTGCCGGATTGTTGGAAGAATCTCAACGAGGGGAAGCTCAACGTGGATGTTTATTTGGCGCACATGCTATCTCTCAACGCGCTAATAACGCTGCACAATGGGTATATGCGGGAGCAACATTCTAAAAAGAGACTGATGGGATGTGTGAGAGCTGCATTGAGTACTGCATACTCGCTTCTGAACTCTTCATTCGACCTGGCGAGACTCCCGTCGTATGCGATTGCGATGTATAGTGACTCCGCCGAGATCTTGATTGCAGCTTTCGTTTCGAGTTGCGATGAAGTTGCAAAAGAAGCAATCAAGTTGGAGCTGGCGACATTTGGCGATCTCTTCCGTTGCATGCAAGATCGCTGCCCTAATGCTCTATTTGCGCTGAGCAGGTTAAATGAATCGCTCTATAACAATGGAATCCAACCTTTCCCTCCAACGCATCCAACAGAGATAGATCCATTACTGCAGGAAATCAGTAACTTCGATGTGGCTGCCCCAGTGCCTCTTGAGATAGATCAGATCGGTGTTGATGGTGATGTTGGTACCAGCACTGGAATGAATTCCGACATACTGCCTGAGCCATCTTTTACGGTCTCTGATGAATACGGATTGATGAAATTTGATGATGTGTTTGACGATAGGGCGTTCGATGTTGCATTACCATAAGTCTAAATTTATTACATGTTGTATTCTAATGTATTCTTCTAAACAATGATGATAATGATGAAACCTCAATATATCGTTAAGTGCGTTCTTATAATTTTATCCGTCAAGTCAAACCATCGAAGTATCTTGAAGAAGTAGTCAATTGTGGTTTGAAAAAATCGCAAAAGGCTTGCAGAGCTTTTGCCCATTCATGGACATTCTACCTCATTCGAACTGCATATTGATCTTAGTTATATTCCTTCTTAACGTGATTCTTGACATTCGTGTTTTTAGACGCAAAGATATCACATACTGACAATTCAAATAAATTTGGCAAGACCCTCGACTCCAAAGAACCTTTAGCATTCCAAATTCATCCTCGTTTCAACCCTCCGCTTAATATTTACCGAGTTGAATTTCACCACCACCACTCATCTCATCTCAGATGACTGATCGACGACTTTTGATGATCTCCAAGTAAAAAAGTTCGATAAATGGCCCTAAAATATCTCTACAAGATTTTGCTAGATTTATGTTCCTGAGCCTCCAATTGCACCCTGCAGGTTGCAATCCGAAATCTTTCTGGAATACCCTATAGGATAGATACGAAGAATGGCATGCGCGAAATCGATGGAGATATTATTATTAGCTAATTAATTCTATAAGTACCCCAAATCGCAAGTATTTGGCTCTATAAGCGCGATTCATGTTTTCCGACAGCGTCCACATGTCTTAATTTACAGTTCTAATGAATGCAATTTATGCAAAGCAAAGCGGGGTCAGCCCAACTTGGCGTCAGCAGGTGCATTTCGTTAATTTCAATTAATGGAGGTAAAGGGGTGGCTGAGAATTTGTTGAGCTCGTAAAAGCCACTTTAATGCAGCAATGCATTTCTTGAGTTTAAAAGTAGCTGATGAGGTGCCTATACAATGTGTAGAAGCCTCTTGAGGATAATTAGGGTTGTGCAGAACGCTTGAAATATCACACGCGTCTGTGTGCCTCTCAAAAGATCTATTGCTACAGAAAAGAATTAGAATCGACCATACTCGCACCACTTACAATCACTTGGATTCAAACATAAGATCTGGAATCAGGTTGATTTTTGCGAGGAATTTGGTATATAATTGAGCTTTATCGGCGATAGTTTAGTCATTTGGCGCCACATCGATGTGATCACTGATACAACCCGGGCAGCAATTGACAACAAGCGCTAAAAATCTGATTTAATAATTTTGATTTCGCCACTCATTTCTATTTCATGGGACTTCTCATTGTAAGCTTCAGATTTACAGAAAAACTAACCAAAACACTTTGCAATCCATTTCAATGCTCGAAGTCACCCAAATGTCGGACTCTTCGATTTTCCTTCCACATGCGTCATTTTCAACCGAGGCCTGACGGGTTTGGTTAGACAAAGAAGCTTCACGTGTACTCACATTCTTGCCCGTGGGCAGGAGCAGCGGTAGCTCCAGCAGCCAAACCTAGTGAAAAGAGATAGAATGGTAGTTATGAAAGTAGCTGATGTATTATCCGGAGAGTTTAACAATGCCCTGCTTAATGGAACAATGTGGTGCTTGAAAATTGAGCTATTATTTCCGCACGTTATCCAAGAGTTAAAAAAAAAAGATCCAAAATACAAGTAATGTAAGACATTCTCATTTATCTTTCCGATAGTCGCTTCCACCAGTGTATTCTGAGCCTTCCTCTTTATCTCGCTCAATGACGTCATCATCGCTATCTTCGTCAGCTCTGTAAGTGTACGGTTTAGTTGAGTTGAAAGGGCGTAATTCGCCCATCAATGGAGATATCAGACGTGAAAGAGGAGGCGAAGGCTTCGGAGATGGTCATCGAGATTGCGCAAATTTTTGGACGCCTATACTTCTGGCATCAGTTTCTGAAAGTACGGTTTCACATTTGAAATGCTTTACATTGTCTCGCGTAAAAAGTTTATAAATCAAGATGAGGCTGTGTCGTTGTCTTTTTACCTCTGATTCGAGAAGTAAAATAGACACCAGCAACACCTATACAATAAGGTAAAAGAGAAGACATTCCTTAATACAGCATGTCATCATCTTCTCACAATAATGGTGTACCTTACCCTTATTGGTCAAACAATTTCTTCATGTGATTTAAGTAGTTGTATTGATTTTTGTAGGAGACGAAACTGAGAAACGGCTTAAAGCCACCGTAAATTGTTTGATTTAGGAGTCATTTAATCATTTCTGTCGTGTTCATGTCACTCATTGATATCATGCCAATGTCAAAGCACAGTGCTTTTAAAACAGGGATGCAAGACCGCAAATTAATGTCAGAAAACAAAAGCTTGACCCTTTAATGTAATAGAGCTACATTTTGCTTAACCCGCCTTTATCAACGATCAGATGTTTATTATCAACACGGACCTATGGTCTCTTCAATTGGGCAGTTCAGCCAAATGATTAATACATTCGTACCTCGATGTTTCCCTAGATATCTTAAATTGATGCTAACAGGTTTTAAAATACTACTCGAAGCTTTGTTTGTCTAATCCCAAGGCAACTCACGTGAGTCTCTTTGCAAATTCGGGTGTTTTCAGGATCTTACTTATTGTAAGTTGAATAAAGTGAGTTTCCTTTCTGGAGGGAGTGTGATTCAGCTTAATACGCGGTCCACTGAGGTAAAGATCGTATAAAATGAAGTCGAAGAAACCTCAACAAGCGAGTCTAAGTGAGCGTCTATCCCAGTCATATAGATGTTCAATTATCGCAGATAGAAGTTTTCGGTGCAGTCTTTAGAATTTTTCTGATACTGATCATTTCCGCAGATCAACAAGTAAGTCGCGGGGTATAGAGCGATTATGCTCAAAAGCCACTGTTTCGAAGAGAAATAACCCTACTTGGATTACTCTAATCAATCATGAGATAATCATGGCCACGCTGGGTTGCAGAGAATTACGAAAAACATGGCAATTAATTAACTTTGATTGTAACAGTGAATGCATTCAGTGGCCCTGTACATTCTCTTCATCCCCTTGCTTAAGAGCAGAGAGTTTGAAGCAGTAGACTTGGACTGGATTGGGGCAGCTTAAGTACTTACGCGCTGGTGTTACTCTACTATGCAAATGAAAGAAAAATCAAAATAATGTCACCCACGTAATCTTTCCCTTCGCTATCGCACACTCATCATGGCACAGGGCGTAACAAAACTAAAGTCAAATCCAAATACGAAAAAGGCCAACAACGCCCACAAAGCGTCGAAGAATGCATCAGTGACCAAGAAGGGAAAGATGGCGATCCCCCCAAAGAAGAAAAATGAAGTTGAGCTCAAGACTAATATGAAGGTGAGTCGGAGTCGGAGTGAGTGGCCTGAGCGTGGCTGATACTTCTGATATAGAAATTGAGCTCATCCATCAATAACAACATCGAGAAGGAAATGGTCGGTAAAGCTTCCAGTGGACCACTGCACATTCTCAAAGACAAGGACGCTAAGGGTAAAAAGTAATCCAAGTGCAGAATTACGACTGGGATTGTATTATAGATATTTATGGCATTCATTTCACGTTGGAAAATCTGAAAGCTCTTATCTGCATACGATGGACACGGCCGTTAAGGAGATTTTCCAGGAGTACAATCCAACAGGCTGGCTGCCGAATGGCCATTTTCAAACAATATTCTCCACTCTCCTCGATACCTCGAACATCGATAGCGTCGACTATCACAGACACACACTCTTACTCAGAGATGGCGGGAACATCTCCCTCGATATCCACAACCCAGGAAAACAGAAAGTAGCGGTCATTTGCCATGGACTAACTGGTGGTTCTCATGAGTCATATGTACGAACAGTCGTGGCTCAACTAGGTGAAGACGTAACCTCTATCGTAGTCATAGCCAGAGGATGCGCAAACACCACAATCACATCTCCGCTTCTTTTCTCCGCGGGCCAAACAAACGATCTACGGACTGCTATCCTCTACATTAAAAACCTGTATCCTGACGTGGATTTGATAGCCATCGGATTCAGTCTCGGGGCCAACATTATCACGAAATACTGCGCCGAGGAGGGTGACAAATGCCCATTCAAGGCAGCTGTTGTACTGTCCAATCCTTGGGATCTCTACAAAGGTACGAAGGAGCTCGAGGGGTCTTATCTCGGCCTTTACTTTTACGATAGAGCTATGGCGTCTAGTATGATGGCTTTATTGAATTTGCATGGGCATGCACTCAAGGAAACTCATGCAGAGGAGCTTGCACTCATCAATTCACTGAAATGGCCGACCGTCAAGCAGTTTGAGGATATTATCACTTGCAAAGTCGGTGGGCATCCCCCAGATTTCCCAATTCCAAACGCTGAGGCGTACTGCATTTGGTGAGTTTGATACGGAGGCAAAGTTCCACGCTAACACTTTCCAGGGCCTCATCGGCAAACTACATAGAAAAGATTAAGATACCTTTCCTAGGTTTGAACTCGGAGGATGACCCTATAGCATTCAAAGCAGCCTGGCCAGAACCTGCCGACGAATACAAGACATCACCTTCTAACCTCTACAAATGCAAAGCGAACCCACTTGTGCACATCTACCACACCAAGCACGGTGGTCACATGGCTTGGTTTGAAGGTGGACACCCATTTAGCGTGTTTAGAACGGGTCCAACATATTCAGACAACTACCCTGCACCTCGTCGTTGGTTTGCGAAACCTGTTGCCCAACTCGTCGGACATCTCTTCACGGATAATTTTGCTCCTGCTCCAGGTGCTAGCGAGAAGCCTGTTAGAGTTTTTGATGGAGATATGGAGTGGGAGACTAGAGATCCGAATCTTAAGGAGTTCGTAGCTTACTCGGTTCTCACTAAGGGGGATGAAATCATTCACGGCGGAGATGAGTCAAAGAATAACGTCTCCCAAGGGTTTTAAAAGGGTTTGAGAACTCTATAGAAGAACTTGTATTATCACATACGCGCATAGACATTATAAATCTTGACACTCCAAATTGAAGATTTTACATCCTTGTAAAGCTGTACAAATAGACTTAGAATCAACGCTTTTTCACAACATTGTTAGCCTATCTGCTTAATTATAGCTATGTTTAGATTTGAAGAGTGACTTCATAGCAAAGTTTAGCCGTCAAAAAAGCTTAAATTTCTCGGCCGGAAAGTGCCGCATGTGGAGGGCTACAAGAAACTTTCTTTAATTCAGTTGACAGTGTCCTTTTTAAAGATTGCACCTTCAGTCTTATTTTCATAAGCTTCCTCATTCCATCGACCGCAAAACTTGAATCACGGAAAAGTGAGGAGGGTACATACCTCTTAAAAAGCACCATCAACAACAAGATATGTTCTCAAATATCCTTGCAATCGCATCGCTTGTCTTTACTATCAATGCTGGATTTAACGACATACTCAGACAAGGTCACCCTGCGAAAACTCCGGGAAAGGTCGTGAATGGGAGTTACGATATCTTTGACGAATTGGATTTTTTCTCAAACAGCGTAATTAGCCCTAACCCTCATATAAATGATCTTCGTCGCAGGTGCGACTACAAGATCAACGACCGAAAAGGATACTACAATAGAGGTGGATATTAGTAATTCGAGTTTATACATCTCGCTTACGTTATCCAGGACTTTAAAAAGATGAATCATTTGACTGGTCAAAATGAGAGTGCTGCTACTGCCTTCTCTCTGTTTAAGTCTAGAGATAATTTGATCACTCGATTAGCTGGAGCTACATAAACTGATACCATCAAGCCATAAACACGACTGAGACTTGATTGCTAGCAAATTGCAATATGAATACCATGTGTAAAATAGTGATGCATAAGATTAACGTGAAAGTAATTGAGAATCGTGAACGTGTTTTTTGAAGTACCTGTCATGTTATTAAAGTTTGATACTTTCGGCAATAGCCTTCTGACAATTATCGTAATGTATTACCGCAAAGCAAGAAACGTGAGCTTCCACTCCCTGAAATCCAAGCATATCCATAATGTCTTTACTGATCGGCAAACAAATGTCAAAATTTGTTTTTACCGGCTGGATGTGGAGGTTGGTGCGAATTGGCTGAGAACAAGAAGTCTACCCAAGAATCTACAGACTACTAACATAGTGCAGAGCTGCACCTGCAAGATGTCCGAGAGCGTTTATTCATTATGACATCACATATCCAAACCTGACTATAAAGAGGCACAAAACAGCTAATCAATTACTATCATCATGTTTTCTGAAATCTTTAAAATCGCTTCAGTTATCCTCGCCGTCAATGCTGCAGTCATAGACCCTGCATCCCACACTGTTCAGTAAGAAAGTGGAAAGCATGTCAACGAGCATTGTGATGTCGCCAATAATGGATATGCTCTTATGAAGTTTGCAACGACGCATATGCATCATTAAATCGTGTTTTGAACCCCAACAATGTCCACACTCCTAGATTTATTAGAGAAAAAGATGCGACTATTATTGCAAGGACAAAAATGGTCGCGATATGACCGACGTGCAGAGAGGAGTTCCTAATCAAGCTTGTATCTTTAAGAGCTGTTTTGACTGTGACTGGACCAACAAGAATTCCAGTCAGAAATCTTAGAGGTTGAGATGGTATGAAGGTTTGGTGTAAAGGCAAGGGAGGTGACTTAGATCGTGAAGAATGCTATCGCAGCTATGGTCCAGATTGTTGAATTTTTCTATGTATATACGGGTTAGAAAACCTATGCAATACATTTCAAATGTTCATTATCGTTTCTTCAAACGATATCGGCTTTCTTTCGAGTAGCTCTTCAAGGGCATTGCTCGTAACGGTAGTCTCGCCACGCTGTATAGCATCGTATGCATTCGCCCATCTCTTTGTCCAGTCCTTAGCGCCTGCGACTGGATCGTCGTCGTTCCTCGAATAAAATTCCAAGGCTTTTAACAAATGCGGCTGACTTGAGAATTCTTCGACTGATACTTGTTTTATTTTAATGTCTTTGCCTACTTTACGCGAGATAATTGCGAGGGTGTCTGCGAGTGTATAAGATTTTGGTCCACTGAGCAATATCATATTGTTGGTTACTCTTTCGGCCCAGCTCTTATCACCGCCAGCAACTTTCGCTACCAGTTTGGCAGTCGCTTCGCCCAGATTGTCGGTTGATGCCCAAGCAACCCCTTTGCCGCCACCGTCGTGAGGTATTTTGACCTCATCTGCTGGGTTTTGAATGTCGTATCCGGAGAGATATAGTGGATAGCTCTCATTATAGAGGCCTTCACGAATAGCCGTATAGAGTATTTTGCCAGATTGAGCGAGCTCAGCTAAATAGGCTTCCGTCTTCAAATGTGCTTGCATGACCTGCGCAACGCTTTTGTTGCTCTCCCCGCCAAATGCGAGGGAGCTGTAGAAAATGTGCTTGACGCCACTTCCGACTGCAGCATTGATAGCGCGTTTGTGCACTTCAAACCTAAAGTCGTCTTGCAGAGAAGGATAAGATACTAGAATGAGTGTCTCTGCACCATCGAAAACGCCTTGCAAGCTTCTCTCATTTTCATAGTCTGCCTGGCGAAGATGCGCATCATCAACGGCGATCTTGGAAGTGTTCCTCGCTACGAGGATCAGATTAGAGTGATCTGTTAAAGCAGACAGATGACTTGTAACGCTGCTGCCAAGGTTGCCGACTGCTGGGAAAACCGCGATTGATTGTGGCATTTTGGGAGATTCTGAAAGAGGCACATGCTGATATACGAGATCCTACGTAATCATATTACAAATCCAAAATTAGTCTTGAGATCTGTGGAAAATTGAACGATTTGTAATATCATATTGCTCTGCATTGATGGTAAGGGAATAACTCCAAGAAGCCATGCCTTTGTAACTCTATTGTAAAATATTCAAGGATTTGTTGGAAATAGGCAAGTGTAAGTTACAGGTGATCTAAATTCTGTTCGGAATCTAAACAGACGCGGATGGAGATATTACACTTATTGTAGTTTCAGGTCTGTACGCTCTAGAGATAGACAATCTTTGTCTGAGAAATAGTAGAACAATGAAAATAGTGAATATTGAAGAAACTGCAGTCAAATGATGGTTTAGAGCTACAAGTATTGAAATTTCTAAACTTATTATGTCAACTGGAAAAATTCGCAAAAAGTAAAAACAAGTGTATCTGAATTGTCTCAATTTTCATTACACTTTCTTCTAACGATGTTGACTTTCTATCAAGTAGCTTTTCTAGTGTGTTGCCCGTCTTATAGCATCGAAAGCACTGGCCCCTCTAATTTTGTCCAGTATCTGGCACTTGCTACTGGATCTTCGTCTGTCTTCAAATAAGAATTACTGCGTATGAGGCCTTTATCACCTGATTGATTGATTATTATTTATACCCGATGACTGAACACGAGGGAGGAGAGCATAGCGAGCGCAAATGACAGGCTTAGGCCCATTCACTGTTTGCTTCGTGAGGTGTTACGGAATATCGAAGCTATCGGATGTAGTTTCGCGTCGTCATGTGTGAATATTTCCAGTCTTCAATGATTTGGCACTGCTGTCCCACAATGAAGAGAATACATTATGTACAAACCACCAAATGATAAGATGCTCGATATTTTTTCACCTCTTATCTCGTATCTTGTTCTTCTCCCGTCACGTTAGACCGATTTGATACCGATTAAATTCAAGCTTGGATGCAAAATCAGACCAGCAGGGGCATCAACGCTTGCCTGAGCTGTCGCAGATCAAAATCCAAGTGTATCAGCTCTAATCAAGACGGCCCGTGTGATAGATGCACCAAGAAGGCCCTTGAATGCGTCTTTGAAGGCGTCATAAAGAGACGCGGAAAAGATCGCAAGCCAAGAGCTAGCGCTAAGCGGATTGAAGCTGCCAAACAAGCAGCAATGTCTGCTGCAGCATCCTTCGAGAACCAAGAGATGGCTTTGTCTAGGCCAAGTACTAGTGGGACGACGTATTCTGACACGGATTACGAAGAAACCGATCACGACGACAATGAACCAACGTTACCGCATCCGTTTTTCAAGTCAAGAAATAGCAATGATGCGAATATACTGTACACTAGCAACTTTCCTGAGTTTGCATACCAGACGTCGTACAATGCGACCTCCACTTCGCCTCCACTTCTTCTTCATCCAGATCGAAATTACCAGCAGAACACGTATTGGGATTACTTGATTGGTGAAAAAATGAGTGAGTCTCGGCTGGATAGAAATACGACTCTTAAAGTTATTGCTGCCGACCTGTCACTAGTCTTTCAAAGAGGTGACTTCATCGCAACAATGTTTCACCTACCTAGCTTCTTCGAAGTAATTATGAACTCAAGAAAGAGAGGCGCTATTGAGCCAGCGCTTATATATGCCCTTCTGGCAATCTCGTATGTTTTTAAAGGTAGATGCGACCAAACTTTTGCTACCGAGTCGAAACTCAAGGCTCTGAATTACGCTGAGAGGTCACATAGCCACCTAATGTCAGCTATCAGCACTAGCAATATATCTCTAGGCTTGGCGCAGGCTGCAGTTTGTCTGCAGTATTATGAGTTTCTTCCAAAGCCCCTCTTTGATGTACAACGGTTGGGTGCCAGCTTGACAATTGCTGATACAGTCATCAGAACACTCGGACTGACTACTCTCGATGCTGACAAAGTGCTTTACGTTCTTGATGACGACGCTGTACCGATTAAAACGGCAGATTTGGATCAGCCAGCACAACCGGAACCGCTAACCCCAGTATCAGAATCGCACTCGTTTTCGCAAATTGAAGAGATATCAACGCAGCTGGACTGCCCATGTATGAAGTGGACTTACAATGAGCAATCAACGCAAAAGAAGGAAGGTATCAGGTTTCGGTTTTTAGCTAGGTTCGCATTAGACGAGTCAGATGAGAATATGGTGAAAGCTGAGGAGATTAGAAGAGTGGTATGGGGCGCGCTCAACCAAAGCTGGTACCAGCAAATGTTTCAGCCAACACTCAACCCTCTTTACATTAACGACAGCTCCAACTACGGTATTTTTCTGACTTCCGAGCACTTCGTTGCTAATCTTCCAGATCAATATGAGCGAGATTGGTCAAGGCGCACTATGTATGCATTGCTAGATCGAGGCAAGCTGCTGTGTCATGGCGCTATGAGATTGCGACTACCGCCACTGGATTTTCATTTGAGAGCGCTGAAAATAATCCAAGAGGCTGACAATATTGAGGCGGAGCTGGGTAAACACACTTGCCATAACGGTATACCTCGATGGCAAGTTTCAAATGCCCTCTTCATCACAAAGCTAGTGCTCACCGCAAAGCTGAAACGCATGAATGACTCTAGAATAAGACAAAGAGGATACTTCACCAGAATACAAGCAAAGAAGTGGCTTGAAGATCATTCTTACATCTATAGGCAGGTGAGTTTTACAACACAATCCATCTCTGAGCATCTCTTGACTATTCTTAAAGTTCATCGGAGGCAGTATACGTGATGCTCCAATGATTCTAGGTGTGTTATCAGTACAAGCTTTGCGATGTCTTGATTTATTTGGACTCGATTCTGATCTAGTACTGGCGCTATATGTTGCGAGGGGTATCTTAGGAGCAATTGAGCAGCTACTCGAATATCATCCATGTGACGCTCCAGCCGTTCAAATAACACTCGAAAAGATCCGAAACTCATGCAATTTTGAATCCGAAAGTGTGAAGAGAGCGTTTAAGCCGCCACACCCTCCACCGCATCCACCTACAGTTGAAGAGCTGGAAAAATACATGGAAGAACACAATCAAAGTTGTCACGCATCCAATCCATCCATCGATGAGGTAGATATCATTCAATATTCAAGTCAATACGGCTGAATAAATTCAATTATTCCTTCACATCTCCTTTGTATTAATATAAGTAACTTAACCTATAAATATACTTTGAAAAAATTCAGCGAAAAGAAGATATGGACAGAACAGGTGAAACTCCCCTTACCTGGTCTATAGGTATTGTATACATTGAAAAGGATACACATGAAATTCTACATACTAATGGCAATCCCTTGCCATGATTTAGGGTTGAGCTCACTGGTTGAAGAAATCATTCCAAGCTGATTTGAGGATCTTGTGAACTGCAGTCGCTCTGTCGCCAAGCTCTGAAACAGTCTTCTTGAATGATGATTTAACCTCTTCAGTGCTTGGGCCGTTCTCGTCGTAAATTTCGTGCTCAACGCTAAGAGCAAAAGTGTTGAGCAAGTCCCCAGCGGCACTACCGGTAGCGTTGTTATAATCTTGAATGTACTGCTTGACTTGTGGTGGGAATATATCCAAGTCGAGGGTTTTATTGTTGATATCCTCGGCGAACAATTGTGTGGCATTGAGGAAGTTGGTCAAGCCTTCTCCGAGATTTTCATTCGCGTCTGCGTACTTGGAACGGACGGAATCTGCTCTCTCCTCGCTCGTATCATTCAGCGCAATACCTTCGGACATGTCAACTAAACCGGCGAACAGAGTTCCGATGCCATTTCCGATATTTTCGTTGGCCCAATTGTATGTTTTTGAGATCTTGTCGTCATTGCTATCGTCTTCGTGGAAGATTGTGTCACCGATAGCGACAACAGTGTTACCGATATCTGTCTGTCTCTCAATCTTAGCTTGTGCGAGTAGGTTGAGATTTATTTACTCACGATCGCATCACCGACGTCGTGTCCAAAGTCCTCCAGAGCTTCACCAATTGGATGATCACTACGCCCGTCCAAAGGCGAAGGAGCTGCAGCGACGACGGAAAGCAAAGGTAACGCTAAAGATAAAGTAAATAATTTCATTTGGATTCTGATTTCGCAAAAGCAAGGTGAGTAAGTAATTGCGCTGCCGTCATGATCGACAAAAAAAATGACCGGAAAATCGAGAGGCATAGTAGCATGTAATTGAGGTTGTAGAAAATAAGCAGAAAGACGGTACGCATTTGCAGGCCGAAGTTATCGTCAATAACGTCATTTAATGATTCAATCTTAATGATTCCAGGAACAGGAGTGGAGGCTCACAGACGTAATTGAAAAACTTATAGAAACGCTCAAAGGCATTTACATCTCATTCTTCAGATTAAAGCCTTCCCCCCCACGCGGCGTCACGTTATCTAAGCATCACATCCTTATCTGAGCAACGATGACATCGCGAAGGAGATTGCGAGATCTTATAATAATAATAAAAAGCAATTTACAGATGCTGGGATTGCATTTGTGAACAATACGTACACCGCCTTCAAGGGCATGTACGTGGAGAAAGTAGAGGTCGTCAACGCTCTTCGATCAGGCAGCTCTGCGATACGGCGATTGGCTCTTCAAAGAGTCACAGACGGTCATGAATCTTCCGAGAAACAATTTGCTCTCGTATCTCCGAGCCAACGCTTTTCCATCTCACATCTATTGCTACCTCTATTACTCTCAATAAACAACATTTTGTTATCGATGCGCGCATTCAGGACAACGAGGGACATACAGTCGTTTTGCAACTAGAAGCAGGTCTGAAGGCATACAACACTGATTCTCGGGAGCTTTCACGAACCAAGCTTTATAAGAGCCAAAAATGCCTTGTGATGAATATTTCATCGGCATTGGAATGGTGTCTTACGAATGATGTGGAGGTTAATATAGCGCAATCTAAATATTTCTTGACAAGAATTATTGAAAACTCTCGATTGTAAGGATAATTATTAATGGGTGGCTCAGCTAGCGTTGAAGCAGACAGCAACGCGTACAAGTTCACCTTTAGCTGCCATAGCGATTTCGGCAGACATGTACACATTATGGATGAGAACAGGGGTAAGATCGGATTCTGTTATTATTACTTGACAAGCCTATTTGACTCACGTTGCACTCAGTTTTGGAGAACGCCAGACCTCGACGGAGAAGATGGATGAGTCATTTTGACGGAGATAGAACCTGAGATTTTTGACCGCGGCATCCTGGATCGGAAATTTTGCAACAAGATTAGCAGAAATGAGTTGAGCTTCGATGGTAGTGCTTTATCCCTCAAATCTCGAAGAAATCCTTTGCTAATACCCGAGGCGGCTAAAAGAACATTAAGTATCAAGGTTTTTGTATTATTTGGGGGTCGTAAACGAAAATTAAAATGAACTGTTTTATAAACCTCGATCTTAATACTTTTCTGTCCACCTGACGCTCTCTTGAATACTCGCCTAACCAGCGATTGCGCTCGGTTGCGTCAGTTGATAAATCGATATTTCTCTTATATTTCCACCACCATCAATGTCACCAGATAAGCCAACACTCAGTATCAAACTGCACAACCATACCAACGTAATTACCCTGTGCCCATCTACAGACAATGTTCGGGTTAGTGGCCAAGTGGAGCTCAATCTACCAACAAAGCAAAGTGTGAAATTTATTAAAATTAAGATGAAGAATGCCGAAGAGATTGTCAAGTACGCAAAACGTGATGAGAAGATGTTCATGCACGAGGTTGTCACCTTTAAGCAGAACGAGAGTTTGGATCAAGGTCTGCACAAGTACGATTTTGATTTCCACGTGTCCAAATCACAGCCGTGCTTCGCTGCTGGTGATGTGGCCGCTTATATCGAAGCCAAGGTGGAATTCGACGAGATTCTCGCGCATCCATTGATTGCCAACATGTTCATTATACTGGTTGGCAGTCCAAGTGATAGCCAGCAAATTTCACTCGAGCACATCCACCAGGACTTTGTCGAAGATGTCGGATCGTTTGAAGTGTCATTCAAATCAAAACACCTTACGACCCAAGGTTTCATCGACATCGGCCTTTATCTCCCATCTGCAGCGCCAGGATTAGAGATTAAGGGTGTTAAAGTCAAGTTTGAACAACACACAGTCATTCAAAACAAAGACAAGGTAATATCGACACCACCTGTCGATAAGGAAGTACTATTACTTGAAGGAAGTCGTGACAGCACACTTATCAGAGCAAATTCAGAGCAAGATGCGATTACCGGTCATTGGATATTGCAATTACCTTCCAACGACAATATCAAGCCAACCACAATGGAATTTTCACATGGTAGAATACAAAGAAAACACTATTTGGAGTTTAACATCATGTTCAAGAAGGACACACTTCGATTGGCAGCCGTCAGAGTGCCATTGACTATTACGCAGCGCACCTTATCGACTGCTGCGCAGGTGCCGTCAGATTACGGCCAATATTCCAACCCTATTCCGACAAAGCGATTCTGGGAGCTTCCACATTCGCACCTCTTCTCTCATTGTCCAGCTGATACCACTGAAGACGATCTTAAGAGTGCTGCTGTAGGAAACGCAATCGGAGCTCCTCAAGGATTGTCGCTCTCAGCTTTGAGGAAGTAATGGGATAAAGAACAAGTGATAGGATTAAGTTTAGGTTAAGGATTCAATTTCACATTCTATGTTTTGTTCGTCTTTGTAATTTAAAAATGATAATTTTTGCGTATTGAAATTGGTAGGCCATTTTGAACATAGTAAATTCTAAAGAGTCTATAAATCGAGTAATGACCTTGATAAGACGTAGAAGTTTAGAAACTTTACTGACATAAAAGCAACCATCGCTGCATTGCATAATCTGTAATTTGTCTAGAGCTTAGCCAGTCCTATATGCTGCTGAGCGGCAAGCATGTGCAAATGTCTTCTGACAATTTTCCCAGAAGGAGTTTTAGGGATGACGTCGATTGTGTGCACGCCTCCGCGCAATTTGGAATAATTTGCAACTATGTCTGCCACCCAGGCTTCTATTTCATTGCAAAATACTTGGTTGTCGAAATTGGCTGCATCCTGAGGCACGATATAGGCTCTGGGAAGTTCCGTCACCTGTCTGTCGTCGTAAACGCCTATAACAGCCGCATCATTCACTTGAGGATGAGATAAAAGCACCGCTTCTAGAGATGACGGTGCCACCTGAATGCCTTTGTATTTTATCATTTCCTGGAGTACATTTTAGCTACGAATTTTTTCGTAGCTATCCCACTAACCTTCAGTCTGCCTACTATCTTGAAGAGGAACGTCTGATCATCGTATATTGCTATATCGCCAGTCTTGAAATATCCGTCTGAAGTCATGCACTGGGCTGTAGCTTGGGGGTTATTCAAATAACCCCTCATGACTTGCGGCCCTTTAATCCAGAGTCTGGGGTGGGGTGTGAAATGGGAACCATACAAAGTCTAAATACTCACTCTCCACTCGACTTGTTATCTCCAGGTACATCCTTGCCATTTTCATCCACGAGACGCGCGGTGGTGTTTGAGAGCATTCTGCCAATATAGCCGCTATGTGACCTGGCGTATTCTAGTGGCAGTTTGTGCGTGACTGGACTAGTCTCAGTGAGACCATAGCCATTCGAGACGAGCACGCTGCTATTGAATTTTTCCCCAATCTGCTCTATCAGCTTGGGGCTGACAGGCGCAGCGCCCACATTGAGAATTTTCAGACTGGACATGCCATGCCTCCTTTCCACATCTTCTTTCGCGATCGAGTGGAGAATCGGTGGTACAACCGCCGTGAGCGTTACCCTGTATTTCTCGACAGCAGCACCGAAAGCTTCAAGGGAGAAGCGGGGCAAGACTACACTCATATTCTCCCTCTTGAGGAAGTTGAGTAGAAGGGATGTGAGCCCAAAGATGTGGTAGTAAGGGAGGACAGCCAAGACAACATCTGATTTCTGTGTGCTGTACGCGCGTGACCAGTCTAATTGTGTGAGGTTGGCGACGAGATTGTAATGTGTCGTCATCACTCCTTTTGCTACACCTGTCGTACCACTGCTATAGCATGTGACGGCAACACTGTGAGCATCCTCGCCTGCAAATGTCTCAGGAACACCCTTCTGCAGGTCGTTGCAAAGGAGTTGAGCGTATGATTTGAAACTTCTAGGGCTGTTTTCAGTAGCTGATACTACCCTATCGCTCACCCTATTCTCCGACCAGCCTCTTTCCCTCAGTATGATACTGCATAGCTCTATTTTGTCAGGATTTGCGAAAACGAAGGAGATGTCGCTATCTTTTATCTGATGGGACATTTCGAGGTGCTTGTTGGCTGGATTGGCGAGTGATGCCGTTGCGCCAGTGGCTATCACGGCGAAGAAGAGTACTGGATATGTAATTGAGTTGTGGTTTACGATAAGCACGCTATCTCCTCTGCCGATGTTGTGGTACTTCCTTAGTCCATAAGCCAGGCGGAGGGCGTCTCTGCGCAGCTCTGAGATTGTTAAGCAGCGCCCTGTTTGTGCATCCACGTAGACCACACTGCTGTTCTTAGATTGTTCCTGCGGCAAAATGTGATCGAAGAGGCTAATCTTGGGGATATCTGCATCGCTGAATATTGATTTAATAACTGTCATTTGCTGCCGATATGGACTATCGCAATCCAGTGTAAAGTGGAAATGTGCCTTCGCTGCGGTATTAGGGTCTGAAAATTGACTAATGTGGCAGTATTAGATGTTCTGAAGACTTTACGTGGTTATATAGCGAATCAAATCGCCTCATCTTATCTCCTCGTATCGCTTCGTCTTAGCGGTCCCTGAGAAGACAGGCTGAAATGTAAAGGAAGATGAACAAAACACCAATAAATTATTTCTTATGTGCTTAGATACACTTGAAAATTACAAAATACATGATAATTGTCAATTATAGCTGAATTGACAGCTCTATTCACTTATTTCGCGAGCAAATAATTCAATGCACTACTTGATTATAATTTTATCAAGCTTCTCAGCATGTTTTCGAGCTTTCTGTGCCCACTCTTCACGTCTACGCGCCTTATCGTGAGAATGTTCTGCCTCTTGATAAGCCATAACGCTAGCGCGGTCAAGGAGAGCTCTGGATTCCTGAAGATAATCGTGCGCGCGTTCCTTGAGAAATGTGGCTCTCTGCAGGCATTCTCTGGAGGTGATCGGCGCGCGCATGGAAAAGGTGCTCGAAGTAGCTGCCTTATGGCGGCTGCTGTGGCTGTTGCGGGAGGCTGAAGCGGTGTGTCCTGGCTTCTGGTAGGACTGCTGCGTTGTCAGCGACGCAAGCAGCTCACTTACACGATCACTCACCTCAATCAGACTGGCCTCGTCGATTCGCGCGTAGTCCTTTGCTGTGTCACTTGGCGTCTGAGGCGTCTGCGGCAATGGAGTGTGCATAGATGTGGGCTGCGATGGAGATGGCGTGGGTGCGCTGAATTGCAAAACAGGCGCTGGCTTCGCTTCTCTGCGCTGTTTGAGCATATTCAGCTTCTCTCGCCAGCCGGAACTTTCTGAGGAGAGCGAGAGCGCGGATAGATTGCCATCATACATCGTCGTGCTGGTGTAGCGTCTACTAGCATAAGTGCGTGGCTGTAGTGCATGTTGCACGATGGGCTGCTGGCATGGGCTATCAACTATGGGCTATGAATTACGGGCCATGGCTGGAGAAATGGAAAACGAGCAAAAGGCTAATAAACCCACTAGCACAAGGCTAATAACCCCGCTAGCCATCCAAAATGCATTTACAAATGACCCGCGTCATCGTTTCTAACACGTTGTTCATCCACGATCATCCACGTCTACTCCGACGTCTATGAAAATCAAGAGGCAGCAATCCACGCCGCTGTCCAAAGATGATTTACACCAGATGAACCAACGCAGCGATAGAGCCAGCCGCACGTCGAGATCGCGCACCTCACGCAACTCCCGCACCTCAGTACCGGATGCGGGGGAGCACGAGGCTCTCAGCCATCTCCAGCGCGTGCTTAACTCTAAATACACTTTCAAAAAGGCGAGGAAACTCAAAGCACTGCACATGTCTCCAGATCCGCAGTTGACCCCATCCCCGGAATTGGAAGTGGATGGCACCAACGACGAAAACTGGATTCCGCCACCCGTAGAGCCCCTCTATAAGCCCAAAAGCGGTATACGCACCAGCAACAGCCATTTCGGTCACCTCCGTCGTTTGAGATCCAACACCAATTCAGCAGAGCCAAATGTCCCGCCGATCACTCAAATCAATGACGATTTCATGTCCATGAAGCGCACACGCTCGTCTACGATGACGAGGCAGCGCTCTGAGTCGCTGGCGATGAGCAATCGCGATGAGTCGGCTAGCTCTGATGCTCCGTTTATGCGGGAAATGGATGTGTTTGAAATAGAGGTGCTCTACGAAAACCAGCGGGGCTTGTTTCTTCTCGGAACCGGATATTGTGGGTCAGGTTGCTGCTGTGAGACTGTCTAACCCGACGACCTAGTCTCTTTCAAATCTCTCCTCCCCATAGATCCATCACCATACACAAACGGACAAGGTGGCTCATCTCCCTATACTCCCGACACCGTCCAGCCTCCGGATCCTCTTTGGGAGTGGGTACACCCACACATGCTGGTCGATATGTCTTGCCGCCGCAAACGAGACGAGGCGGGCTGGGAGTACAATACGTGGTTCAAGTCTACAGGCTGGACGCAGCACGGTGGTCCATTCAGCTATGTGCGCCGACGGAGGTGGATACGCCTGCGAAAGCGTCCAGCGAACGCTCCACTTGTGGTTCCCGATCATTCGCAGGTCTTCAGTTCGAACAACTCTGTCAAAACGCGTCCACGCTCGTCATCACAATTAAAGATACCAAACTCACCGACGAAATCGGTGCAATCGAATGTGGCTTCGTTGGATGCCGACAACAGCATGAGCATGGGTAGGAGCGTGAGCATGAGGTCGTCGCCTCCGTCTGTTGTCAACCTTGACGATAATGACGAGACATCATTCTTGCCAGTCAGACCTAGCGATGTGCCGCCTTCTTCAGTTAGCCTCGCATCTAGCAATTCATTAATCAATAGAAGTTACTCGCATCACACGCACATATCAGTAGCTGATCCTTTCCTATCATACCCACCACACGCTTCGGAAGAGGACCAGAAAGTTTGGGATCAGATTAACCTGCGTAGGTTGTCGCGCATACAGAGCGCGTGTCAGCTCGACAGAGAGCGCATACAGCTATGGCAGTGCTGGCTGGCGCTGAACAAAGTGGAAGTGTTGAATGTAATTCATTCTCAGGTAAGGAAACTGGTTTGTTAGTAAACTCTATTCTAACACCTCACAGCATTTCAAGATATACACTCTCGTCTGCTACGAAACCTACCGTAAACAGCTGGAGGGTATGCTCGACAGGGCTATCAAGTCGAAGGAGGTATGGCCTGCGTCGCCCTTCCTGCTCACGTCGATGGAACAATCTCAAGAAGCACTACCGACACTGCCACCAGCCATGCATCACACGCCTAGCGCGACATCTGGCAAGTTCCGCCCGCATCTCCAAATGAGCCCTCTCAACACACCCATGCACTCACGCCGCTCGTCGATATCATTGAGGCAATCATAAATGCAATAAATGGGAATCTGTGCGTTGGGTACATGTTGTATATCTATATGTAAATCTATCAAGTCTATATCTATGAATTAGCTAGTCGAGCTGCTGGATGAGCGACTTATCGAGTAAGTCTCTCTCAAACCGAGAATTGTGCGAAATGACATTCGCTCTGCTTTGCGATAACTGAGGAAGGCAGGTATGCTGCTAGTTTCGAGGAGATTGAGGCAGATGCGGTAGATGTTCTCGAAAACCCTCGGCGGTATCGATGCATTCGATTCAAAACACTGGCGTACTTGATTAAGTGAATCTAACTTACGCTCTTGGTCGATATTTACTTCGGAGATGGACCGACTATCAAAATAAGTTTCGATGATGCTTTCAATCTCCCTGCGTTGCTGTGCGGGTGGGGTATACTGAAAGCGAATGCTATAATCCTCGTACCACAATACGAACTGTGACTTTGTTAGTGGAATGTGTGGAGTGCATACTGCTCCACTCACATTCAAATTCTCTATGCTTTTCTCTTTCTCCCGCAGGTAGACTACAAACTGATCCCGCTTGCTGCGCTGTCCCATTATTTCCGATAGAGTGGTGCTAGTGCTGCTCCTGCTAACCAATTTCATCATGCGTTGGTGTGCTTATGCTTATGTTTATGCGTGTGCGTGCGTGTGAGCGGATTAATTTGATTTATTTAGGTTTAATTTCGCTTCGGATGGACTGAAAGAAAGACGTCGTCTGCCGCGCTCGCTATCAGATGAGATGGTCCGGTTAAATATTAGCAAGCGATATCTGCCAGGGACTAAGGTACCGAGATGAGGTGAAACGTTGGTGAGACGAGGTAACAAGGTTGTGTCAGATGTGTGTTGGTCTGCTGCGGTGTTTGCTGTAAAATGGAAATTTTGAAAATATTCAGCCTGCGCAGTCACGCGTTAGTTTCCGCGTTACCCTGTTTCACAAAGGCAGTCTCAGAAACAGAAATCGAGAAGCGCAAGCTATCACACTCGCTCTCTTAAATTGTCTCATGCACCGCAAATCACTAGCACGCACGTCATTAAATCCATCGACACACACCTGTCATCCACAGTCATCCAACGTTCCTGGAAATTTTACGGAGGACAGCATCGGTAATCACCAGTTGTGACATTGAAAAAAGGGTAATCCGATGGTAATGTGCTTAAATTTTGCGTTTTTAATGTGTAAAGGTGTCAAAAGTAACTTAAATGATCTGATTTGCATCCTCCGAAGAACACGGAAGATAATCGGAATATGCGTGTGTGGATGTCGGATATTATGGATGAATGCAGCTGTCTCTCTAGCATTCCTCTAGCAGTTCTCCAATTGCAGCTCTCCAAGTCCGGCACTCTGATGGATACTCTCCAGTACCTGCTTTTTCTATATTTAAACACTGATTCTTTATAATCAAGTGGATCATCATGATCACTCATTAGCGGTGATCGTTGTGGGCGTATTGTGCTTGAATAGCCTCTCGACGCACTGCATGAAGCAAACAACAACGATAGTGAGGGAGTTGGTTGAACCACTTGTATTCACACAGCCATGTCCATTGTACTATCCACGATCCACAATTCACCAGCAACCCTCATGCGCTAACCTAAAGAAACTTGAGTCGCATTTCGCTGTAGGTGAAAGCCACCGTCTACTTCTGTTCAATTAGAGGCGATTCAAAACGACTCAAGCTGATCCATCTGAGCTGTGCGGGCGCGTTCAAACTGTTCGACAATCCCAGATTAGCATTCGCATTCGCAGAAATAGCTGAGCTGGTTGCAGGCGGGAGTGAGAATTGTATGGTTGATTCAACATATCTGGAGTGCACATCAACTCCGTTTTATCATTAGTCCTGGTGTGCCTTTCAACATATATCAACGCCTGCCTGACCAGCTAGCTACTCAACAAGCATGAGAAGCAGATATTTATAAAGCATCTGCCAGACCACTGCGGCGATAGCTAGAGTTCGCTTGCTGATGAGCAAGTCTGTTCCAATACTTGAGTACGATCATCTAGATAGGGAGTAAGGTTGCTGCACAGAATACCCTTCGAGGTGTTGGCAGCCAATACTAATATCAATTATATCGGGATATTCTCAACCACATGGATCTCGTAAGAGGGTATCAAGGAACAATCATGCATGAGCCACATAGATCACAACTTTCGACAAGTCAGTGCTATGTGAGAATAGCAGAGACATGCTAAAATGTGTGATGGGGTTGGAGTATAAATGTGCGCTGACGGCACAAGCGGTAGTGCAACACAAGGCCATCTTCCACTTACCCTATGCAAGCAGTGAGGGTGAGTGGACGCAGATAAAAATTAGATCGAACGTTTGTCGCATAAGTTATGCGATCCAAGTTGTTCGAACTTGGAAGAACAGATACTACACTTGATCTAAGCCAAAAGGCCAGAGAGGATGAGGATTAAGGATGAAGAGAGGCCGCTTTTATATGCTCAAAGTAACCCTAGCGTTAGTGCGGTTGTGATATTGTAGAGGGGATCAAGAATGAATATGCATTGAAATTGAATAAACTGAATGCTCCAGTTTTATGGTGTTATTTTTCATCCATGGACTAGCTATTTTTAGTCTCGTCATACATTCCAATCTGAATCACCGAGCAATATCATCAAAGAGATAGAAAGCGGAGTAACATCATCAAAGAAATAAAAGACGCTAAAAGTCTGCTCTACATACTAATGAAGCAGAGTGTGTTTATCAGCTAGCAAGGGCTGTTTACTCCGACAAACAAAAGATACTTCCAGTAAAAGAATATTCTTCTAGAGGAATAGAGATTGTCAATATGATGGCATAGTTTCATTCAAATATAATGTGATAATACAGTTTGCTCCACTTCCATTCTGGTTGGGTTTGTGAAAAATTCCAACCAATTGGCAGGCTGGTACAGTTCACACGCAGCCATACACATCCCTACCCATGAAAATCATGAGCTCAGAATCAAACCCACAATCGCATTCTGGTGGCATTCTCAAAGGCAAAGACCTCGTCAACTACACTCTCGGCACCGATTCGTCTAAGTCGAATGAAGAAATCAAGGAACAAGCCAAGTTTAATTTATATAAGGTGCGGTTTAGTATAATCACATTCCACACTCCAGTAAACGTCAGAGCAGAAGGCCTCTGAAGCCAAGACTACAGCTGAAGGCACCTCCGAAAAGGCCAAAGCAAGGGCGAATCAGACATCGGGTCTGTTGCTGGCTATTGCTCTACAGATGCAAAGGGTACTGCCAAGGTGGGTCTAGAGTGGCGTTGACATGTGTCTCACTTACAAAATCCAGGAAATTAAAGGCGAAGCTCAGAATCATGTTTGAGTCAGCCCATATGCCGACAACGCCACTTTGCAATTCTACAATGAATCAACGAGCTCTTGGGATTTGTGTGTGGAGTGCCGCTATGTGCGATGTATTGTAACGCTATTATCAAAGCAAATTAGCATCACGTACTGCGCTACAGCACAGCTAGTCTTTAAAAATTTTGCTATGCACTCTCGTCAGCAATTGACTCGGAGGATCATTCCGTCCTTCTGCTAACGGGAAGATCATTTGTGCCCTCAAAGCCCTTTAGAATAGACGATTTAGCTTGAATACATGCATAACAGCTTCTAGACTGTGACTGGAACTTTTTTCGGAGCTTTTTGAAAGCTTCCGCGATGTTCATGCGTTTATTTACGCAGAGTTCCCCACGGTTCTAAAAATTCCGAGCCCTGCGGTAGCGTTCTTAGAGCACGCTGGAGGGCTTAATAAAATTGAAAAGCTCATAGTGAATTTGAGGATTGAATTAATTTATTCCGTTTTTCTATCACCAGTACAAATTATGCAAATGTCGCTTCAGAACCGACTGTGCAACATATCGTTGAATTCGGTGAATTGTTTCAATTAATTGTGCGTAAATTATTTACAACTACTCAGAGTCACTCAAACTAATCTTTTGTAGTATAAAACCCACGCCTTCTCACGTTTATTTCCTCATACATCACAAGCAATCTAACAATGTACAAAATCGCTACTCTTTCAGCTCTTCTTTCAGCACTTGCAATCATTGCGGCTGGCGGTTCAGAAATCTGCACAGATTCAGGCGGATGGTAGATGTTTAACATGCTGAATCAAGAGACCATGCTAACTTACACGTGCTTAGCACTGAGTATCAAAGTAAGTTTACTCAAAATTGACAATGTTTGCTGATGGAAATTTCTCCTTCTAGTCACTAAGGATTGATGCGCTGAAGTTGGTAAGCAAGCCTTTGAACACATTAAGACATGATTTTAACTCTCACGCAAGATCAATCAGCAAGGTTCGACGAGCGTTTGAACCAATGTGTACCGTGAATCTTACTTTTACTAGCAGCAACAAGACATTCTCACAGCGACTGAAAGATATGGCGTCAACTCTGTCGATACCGGCGCAATGGTCAGCTGCTGCGAAAGCAGAGGCGCCGGTAGCAGCGCAGAAAGCTTTGGAGCTGATAACCCAACCTGTTAAGCTTGCTAGTTTTAACCAATAAAGAGATAGACGAGGATATCTCAAGCGGAATCAATTGTATAATTATCTTTACACGACTCAAATCTATCATAATTTCGAAGAAAAAACACGTGATCAGGTAAAAACCAAGCGCCCAATGTTTACATTTGCCTTAGTATGATCATCTTCAGAAGATCTCTTGTACTGTCGAGGAAGGGTAGCAATTTCATGTCCGAAAAGATCTTGTGCAAAAGAATGAGATAGTTAAAGTCAGTTGCAAGCTGATTTGCGAAAGCGGAAAATCACACTCACACAAAAATCCTTACTATTGAGCACTTGTACAAGAAGGTTTTCCTTCAACAATCATATTTCGAGATGGCAATAAGATTAGTTGATGTCCATGCTTAACTTTGAGTGTCAACTTAAACCAGCAATTTACACACTTGAGGTGATCTGTCAGAATTTTGCCAGGGGATGAGAACATAGTGCACGATGAGAGTACCAAGATCTGCCTGGCGGCGCACATCCTCAAAAGCTTTTTCGGATGCTCTTTGGTGTCATAAAGACTGAACTTACTATCCATCTTTCTACTTGTGCTACTGACTACAATATTTGATTGGATTTAATAGATCTTCAGATGAATAGGCTTGATTGCTGATCAGCTTAGTCGTGCAGTTCTAAAGACAGTCGTAACATTCATAATGAATACATAACTAATTTCAAATATTAACTACTGATCTCATCTCGCTTCGGCTCATTAAATTGACCGGATATCGTTTTAGGGAATTTAGAGTATGCAGCACTATTGTGTTACAAAATCACATCAGCTACGAGTCAAATCTTTGGATATCGTGATGCTTTTGTCACATCACAGGAAGTTTGGATAGAATAGATGCAGTTCAAAAAGCGACGAAGCCTCGAACTTTTTTTTTCAAATATACTGCCTGACTGAATACTCCTGCACTAACCTAGCGATAGATTGTCAAGATGCAGCGAAAGTGGAAATTTTGGCTTTGAATAATCCAAAATGTAAAAATAATTGTTCTGGTTGTTTCTTTAGTCTCACTTTTAAGGTGAAAATGCATTAAGTCTTCTCAATAATCACAAGTATTCGCAAATTGGCATGCTTACAGCCATTCTTTCTCCGCGTTCTTTTGACTTAGGAACAATCTTGTGTCGCTTAAAATCCGAGTTATGTCTAATCTAGTCGTAAGTTGAATAAGCAAGCAGCCTTGAAGATGGTTTCTGTACTTTTCGACTATCTAGTAATCACTGAAAGTGTATTTTGAGGTGCTAATGCGCCCATATTGCTACACCCTCGCCTCGCCTAAATGTCGGAAGTTATACGAAATCTATAATTATGCAGAGGAATGAATCAGTATATATCGCAATTAAAAAGCTAGGAACTTCCGAGCTTCTCTAACGTATAAAATCTGTCTTTATATTCTCTTTTCAAAACATCTCAATTCTACCAACAATGTTCAAGCTCATCACTGTTTCAGCTCTTCTCTCAACCGTCACTCTCGTCGCGGCTGGTGGCCCAGCTGAGGTGAGTTCGGTATGATCTTCTGAGCATTTCCAATTGATAATTAGGTCTGCACGGGCGGTGGCGGCTGGTAAGAATTTTTCATACTGATTAGCACCTTCTAACATATAATTCAGCGTCGAAAGACAAAGTACGTTGGGTCGATATGTGAATCATAGCTGATGAAAATTGTCTTTTCTAGTCACTAAGGATTGCTGTGCAGCCGTCAATCAAAACACACGCTTTGATGTGTGTACTTGCTATTTAAGATTAGACTTAACTCACTAACTAAAATCAGGAAGTGTTCCATCAATGTATCCCTGAGTTTGGGGTTTAATTTGCTTGCAAAACGCTCTAACTCAATTAGTCGTAAGTAAGCATTTTATTTGCTTAGTGATGATTCTGACATCTGCAGTCCGTAAGTTTGGGCTTAGCTTTGCAGAGAACCACTCTGACAATCTATAAAGTCGTAAGTTATGGCCCTTGATAGCTAATAAACCATTCTAACCATCCGGAAAGGTGAACGGCATTAACACAGGAGGCATGGTTGACTGTTGTGAAAGCAGAGGCGCTGGCTCTCGTGAGGAGGACATCGGAGCAGCAACTTCCGTCTGTTAGGCTCGCTGGAGGCACCGAATACGCAATAAAAACGGATAATTGTGTATTTCTTTTACTAAATACATTTGATAATGATCTTACAACATCTTTGGTGTCAATTTAATTGAATTTACGTCCGTCTCATAGTATCTAGGCGCCATAGTAGGTAATTCACAACTTTCGACAAGTCAGTGCTATGTGAGAATAGCAGAGACATGCTAAAATGTGTGATGGGGTTGGAGTATAAATGTGCGCTGACGGCACAAACGGTAGTGCAACACAAGGCCATCTTCCACTTACCCTATGCAAGCAGTGAGGGTGAGTGGACGCAGATAAAAATTAGATCGAACGTTTGTCGCATAAGTTATGCGATCCAAGTTGTTCGAACTTGGAAGAACAGATACTACACTTGATCTAAGCCAAAAGGCCAGAGAGGATGAGGATTAAGGATGAAGAGAGGCCGCTTTTATATGCTCAAAGTAACCCTAGCGTTAGTGCGGGCAGAGATTGCCGAGGTATGAAGGTGAATTAAATTTTGGTGTTAAAGAGTAATTTTTGACGCATTATTACTTTGTGAACTCTCAATCATTTCAGATCTGTTCGAATTTCTATCTCATGCCCAGTATTCACAGAGTTAAATTTTCCGTCTGCCTAAATGGAAATTCTTCAAACAAAAGAGCTCAATTGATAGCCCAAATTTTGATTTGTACTTTTGGCTTGTTTTATCTACCATGGCTTCCTATCGCCCTCTAAACGCTGCTCGGAAGTTCGCACGCAACATAAGACATACGGAGAGTATCACACACTTCATTGATGCTAATTACTTATCGGGCTTTTAGAAACCACAAGCTTCCATATATCTTAAGTACACTGCGCTCAAATCACGTAATGTATTTCCGACGCGCGGTGTATCCAGCTCTTAACCCTGACCCCAGAGGAAAAGTAAGACAACTTTAATTCATTATAAGCCTTGTAAAACTGTTTACTGTAAAGGAAAGTGGGGTCAAATCCACTCTGAAATCGGTGTTTTGGCTTCATTAGGTGCATTTATAGCAACTAAATGATGAGGGAAAAGAATCAAGTAAGGTCGCGTCATAGTTTCAGAAGACAGGATATTAAAGAAGCTTTTTCTTTTTGATAAAATTCTACTCTTCCCATGACGTGTCTTATATAATCGAAATACCACTAGTGCTACAAAACTTTTGTGGAGATATCACAATAATTGAAAAACAATTTGTTGAGATAAGTTAATTATGTACTTTATTTTATGACTGTGTTTCATTTTTGCCATCGGCTACGAGTCTTGTTCGCTTAAAATTGACAAGGCGCGTCGCGCGTCTTGTTTGAAAAGGGATCGTGAGGAAATAAGACAAGTGAAGAAGCTCATAAACCTAAAGACTCAAAGCATCCAGTCTTTTCAAAATTCGATAGCTATTTAAAGGATAAAGAAGCCGAAGATGCTGACAGCTGCGATTCGAGGGTTGCGAAGGGTGTGCGGACAGCATCAGCAGTGCCCCTGAATCTTATTTTCCCCCCACCAAGCTGTACTGAGAGCAATCAAGGAATTAGGAGGAATTCCTGCGTCCTCGGATTTACTCCACTCAAGAAGCCCAGCTGCGGATAAGCAGGGGAAAATTGATGCGTGATCGAGATACAACATCAGCTATACGGGGAAACGATCGATCGAGAGCGGCAAACGTCAGTTAGTTCTCACCAGGAAACACTCAAACATGAACACAATAGAGTACTTAGTGCAGGACCTTTCCAAGATAAAATTCAGACTCGATTTCATTTCAGAAGTGAACATATTAACTACTTCAGACGCAGCGCTGCCGCTGTGCGAGTTCACATACTACGAGCTGAAGGAAAAGCTTATCGACACGCTGCGATACCCTCACCAATACGACAGAATAATATCATTCAATAAGCGCATCGACAACTACTGCCTAGCGCGGCACCCGCGCACTATGGATCTCGAAATGCACGTCAATGCCAGCAAATCGTTAAATAACTTTTACACTAATAGGGAAGGTCGGATAGTTAGAGGCGAAGACTATTACAAAATACACACTGATATAAACAACATAAAGCTCATTGGGAGATTGCCTAAGCTGCCTGCGTTAGCGACTTCGAGAAGACTGCTTGAGCGCGCACAGCAGGCCAAGTATCTCCGATACTACCTCAACAACGTCGCCGTACCGTCATTCAAAGGCAGCATAGGAGAGGCATTTTTATGGCTGAACATAACATTACTCAGATTCAGCGAACTGCGATACAACAGCAGAGTTAGAAGGATGATCGATGAGTACCGTCCGCCAGAAAGCGAGGAAGAAGGCATACCGATGGATCTTGCTCTACATCAATGGCGCGGTGGACTGCTGGATAGCGGTGAGGTGTATGACTATCTCACCAAACTTCCTACAGATTTACCCCTATTCATCCAAATCAAGGGGTTTAGCCATTCACCGTCGGCGTGGTGTACGTACAAGGAATACAGGCGCTTTCATTCCCAAGGAGAAACTCCGACGCAGAACATTGTTTGTATGAATGGCAAGGTGGCTGTATGTGATGAGTACTCTATCAACAAATTTAAGTAATAGTTTTACATGCATGATACACTTGTACAAAAAAGACTATCTAAAGGAGGCACATTTCATAAACCCATACTCCTCAGCACAGCTGTCCAATCTGTGTCGCTTTGTGTGCCATTAAGTACGCTATCCATTTCCATGAAGTCGAGAGAGCTAGGGAAGATGTTGTTGTATTCGTTTGTACTACCGCTGAGTGATAAAGCGGAGTTGGTGTCATTTGGGATATTCCAAAGGTTATTGAACATTTCCGCACTGCTCGGTGTACCTTCAGTCTGTTTGAGGAGTTGGGAGTAGATTTGATCAGAGGGATTGGGGCCCTTGTCATTCTCGAACAATCCATCCAACACTCCTCCACTTGTTGGCGTTTTGAAACGCGTAGTTTGCGTTTCCGTCGTCACCACCCTGCTTCCCAAACCTAGCATGACCATATGTTCGTTATCGTGATCATCCGTGTTGTGCACCTTAGCTTCTATGTGTTCTTTGCAGCGTACAAGCGCACGCTCCCGAAGTTTATTGAGCGCCGGTACGAATTGATTTGCGCGCTTTCCTGCGCTGGGTAGTGCACAGAGGTCGGTGATGGAGTTGAGATCCATCCACGCATCACTTGCCATCGAAGATCCAGGCGAGATGATGCAGGACGCTGCCGAGCACACCCCGAAGCTGAACATATGATAGAAAAAGAAAAAGTGCCGCGCAGAAAGGTCCGGGAGGAGACGGTGGATGCTCTGACCGAGTGCGACCATTACCTAGTGAAAGTGTGAGTATATGTAGCCAACAAACACATGGAAAACTACCCACCCTGCAACACTCCATTACGGCAATGAACGACTGCGCGAAGGGTGACTTGAGAGGGTTTTGAGGGTGAGTTTTGAGTGCATGTGCAAAATAGCGTCTGTTTATATAGAGTAGGCATTCATTCACATTCATAGCGAGTGTGTGCTGCTGTAGAATCAACTCCTCCCCATCCACTGCTTCCCGCTTGAGAGGGTAATTTGAACTATTTCGCACGACGGCCGCAGCATTGCAGCGCAGATGGGGTGGTATGTCTTTGTCATACTGCCGCACTTCCCTATCGAGCGCAATGACAACATCATATGTCGGTGGCTTTACGCTATAAATGTCATCGCTGATCTTGCACAAGAGTCTGACAAGCGTGTAACGCAGTGTCTGAAACCCTGCATTTTGCGCATCAGGGTGTTCATCGCGGGGAAATTTGCAGTCCACATGGCGCAATTGCGTCGAGTAAGGCCTACCAAAACAGATAGACTGAAAGACGTCCATCGTCTGAGTCTCCCAGAACGTCATCCGCCGCTCATTCAACTCCGCCTGAGTGAATCCCCAGCGCGCACCGTCGCGATGCAGACCCATTGCACGCGCAATGCGCAACTGTACACCGAGAAGTGGATAATAAGAATCAGCCCCGCTCAACCTATTCCTATTAAGTAGATAGAGACCCATCATGTGCAGCGTCTGCGCCGCGGGGATACTGCTTTTGACGAGAAAGTCACCAGCGGAGAGAAGGGATTTGGAATAGCTGTAGAAGCGCTGCGAATCAGGGTGGTCGGTAGAGCGGGTAGTGTCGAAGTACACGCCCAGCGCAAAGACCATATACAGTCGAGCGAGCTTGTGCGGGTCTGGGTGAACATAAACATAGAGTATATCGAGATCCTTTTCGAAAACATCGCGCTGTACGCAGTTGTAGAGACACGAGCAAGTGCGGTAGTAGATCTCCGTCAGCTCACCAGCAATCTCTCGAGATGGCAGCTGTTTCCACAACTCAGTAACGATTTCACCACTATTGCTCGCACTGAATGGGAAATCGGAGGGCGGACTATCAGAGCTCTCGCCAATCTGACGCTTCTCGTCAATAATTTCCTGCTCAGTATCTTCCAGCGACTCATTCTGGAGCCACTCAGAGCCGGCGCTGGGACCAACATAGCGCGATTGGCCCTCTCTGGAAACAGTGAGTGCACCGAAACTCTCAGCAAAGTCCTCCTGATGCGTCTCGAAGCCGTTGTGGGTTGTTGTTGGGTAAGCGGAGGAATTGGGGGAATTAAACACTGCAGTTGCGTTGCAAATGAGCTCAGTGGCCGGGTGAGGGACTATGCCGCCCTGGGACCTGATGCTGCTCTCGAGCTGATCGATACGCGAAAGTAAGTTGCTTGTGTTGTCGACGAGCGCCTGGCGGGACATGGTTGCGCCTTTCATTGTACCATCCGGACATATGGCTGAACAGCCTCTCCGTCTGCATTGGTTGCATGGCCATTGGCGATCGCATTTCAACTTGAGTCTGCGGCATTCTGCGGATTGTGACGGGTAAGCGGGGATAATTGACGCAAGGATACGCACCACCGCAGCTATATAGCGGCCTCTGCTTCCGTGACTTTGCAGGTTTTTCTTTGGCGTCTTTCATTTACAAGTCGATGACGGCATCGAAGAAAGATAATCACATGAAATCAATCAAGTTGTAGAGAGGAAAGCTATGGCTGCTAGTAATTGTGGTATAATGGATATAGATGAACATTCACTGCCTACAATGCAACTGATCTGCACCTATCCAACTCTTGCTGGTTGGGTGAGCTAATAGACCTCAAAAAAGGCGGTTTGACGTTATCTGAGAGAGACGCGATAGAGCGCTCTTGGTGAAGAGACTTCTGGCCACTAAAGCAGACAAGATTAGGGTGTCTGGGCTGTGAAGTGCTGTCGCTCTTGCTGCGTTTGTAGGGGATATTAGTAGGTGAGTGGGTGGAAATGGAGCCAACTGAGGCGATTGTTGAAATGGATGACCGGCTTTGTAAAGACAGCGTGGACATTGAAGCATTGCAGGTGACCTGAGACATTGATTTAGATTCCAGAGAAAATTTCGAGGTTTGATCGACTTGATCAGAAAGCAAGACGTTGTTGTACTCCCCAGCCATCCCATACGCACAAACCCTTTTGTAGTCAACGTTACTCAAATGAAACCACTTCATCATCTTCTTCAAGAGCCACTTGGCGTCGTCTTCTGAGACAGTCTTGATGTGCAAGATACAGCGGCAGTTGAGAGATTTCTTCGTGAAGCTTTGTATTAATTTCAAGCGTCTCTCGTTGTGGAGATAGAGGAGTACAAATAGCTCATCGACGCAGCGCGTGATTATGTGGTGGTGATTGATCATGCTCAGATCAATGTGTTGCTGTTTGCTGAGAAAGAGGACGTTGCCGTCAATGTATGCCTCTTTGAAACTTGTGTTCGGTGGAATACAGATCTTTGGAAGTTGGTGCATTCTTTGTCCGTAGTGAATGGTAAGTGTGAGTTGAGAAAGTCTTAAATATTATCTACTTGTGGAAGTCGCCCAACAAGATATATCTTTTACGTAGTTGATTTCTTCACACGCTCTTTAATTTCCGTGTAATGACGGGTCGATGTTTAGCTCGGATGCAAAAGCTGGATCATCCAAACGCTAGAAGATGCTCCCATCTCCGCTTCCAAATTAGGTTGTCTCGGAGCTTTTGATAAGCAGCTTCAAAAAAAAAAAAAGGGAATGGCCTGCTGGTAGTATTTTAGATGCTCAGATATGTAATTCTTTCTTATAACCATCTATTCAAGCTTCATTCACTTTGGCAGTAAATTACACTCTCTCATTTTATCGAAACACTCTTTGTAACCATCTGCGTATGTGTCAATTGACTTGGTCCATCCAATTGATCTGGCTGCTTCGAGGCTTGCGATTGTAGGGAATGGTAATCCAGCTAATATTTCGATACTCGACCTGTAAGACATTTAGTAAGACACCTCTACACACCATCGATCAACCCACCAATTAGCATACTCGAAAGTGTGTGGATCCAGATTGTACTTGTGCACCAGTGCTGGGAAGTCTTCTCTATGTTTATTTGCCCAATTTTGAACACTGAACGCGACCTTAAGGAACTCGCCCTCCTTCACTTGCAAGTCCTCTGCAGGAGGCGATGGAACCTCCATCCCAAAGTATCCCGCTACCTTTGGCCAAAGGGTGTTAAATTGGTAAGGTTGACCATCGTGAATGTTGAATGCCTGATTGTTGGCATGTTCAGCACAGTGTAGTTGAAATTCTGCATTGTTTGACGCTGTGGAATTATCATAATCCATCGAATAACACAGCAGTGGTCCAGGAAAATGCAGATGCTCGCCAAACTCCCTACAAGCAAAGATATACAGCGCCATCGTCACAGCAACTGACATCCAATTACCCTTGCTGAATCCGGTGATAGCGCAAGGTCTCGAGACAGACCACTTCCAACCGCATCTCTCACTCACCTCCTTTAGCTTATCTTCCTGGTAATAGTAGAAGAAGTCGCGCACGTGGCTCTGTCTTTCTGCATCTTCTCTGAAAGGCAAGGGAGGAAATTTTTCAGCAGTAAAGGCCGGCATGTAGTACTTGTACCCGGTCTGGAGGTGGAAGTGGGAGAGGCGGGTACATGCCATGCTGACGCCCTCGATGGACTGGAAGCGTGTCAGAGGTGGCGTGGGTGCTCAACATACACAAACCCTCTCAAACAGTTGATTGTTGACTGCGTTCTGCTCATCCGTGTTCTTCGAGTCAATGTAAGCGTAGAAGAAGACGTGCGTGGAGGAGCCAGCACCGCCTGCGTCAAGAGCATCAGCAATTTCCGCTGGCGTGGAGTGGATGAGGTCGATTGGGATATGCTCAACGCATTCACGCTCAACTGGCCTCCTGCTAATGGCTATAATGCGGCTGTATGAGCTGTCGTTGAGGAGCGCCTCTATCGCTGCGATACCGCTTATTCCAGTTGCACCGAATACGAGTGCTGTTTTACCGACCATTTCGTTGTTTTCTTGAGAGGTGCCACCGCCACTGCTGATATACCCTCGCGGATCACACCCCTAATCCGAGAATCCCATCATGTCATCATCTGATAAAAGGGGCCGACTGAAGAGAGCAGTGGGTGGATGTATAAATTAGAATACCTTTTGACTCCTGCAGTGTGACTATTGCCGCCGATCGAAAATCAAGTGCGACGCAGCCGAACGCTACCCAGAAACTTGCTCCAATTGCGCTGAAAAGAGACACTCTGGCGAGAGAGAGACGCCGTGCACATTCGTAGATGGTGCGCCCAAGAAGAGGCACACCTATGCTTACGTACGCAGTTTGGAGGAGAGGGTGAAAGAGCTCGAGGGTAAGCTGGGCGTGGGCACGAGCGAGAGCTTACACAAGAAGAGAAGAGTGAACAGCGTTGTTTATAGCTCTACACACGCTCAAGAACCAGACTCTGATTCCGAGTATTCAAATATTGTACGTTCCATGTGGCTCAGCGGAGAGCAAACACCGCACAGCCAAGAAAACCTACGGGAATTTGGCATGGCATCCAATAAAGGTCTCTTCGCTCTCGCTACTGGATTCGTAGACAGTCGCCAGTCGCTCATCAAGGCTAATGGTCATGTCGTTACCTCCACAAAGCACTACAACCAGCACTACAATGAGTCGGATTTCGGTGAAAGTAGCTTGGTTTACGCTCTAGTAGACCTCTATTTCAGCCATGTCCATCCATCACTGCCTCTGTTTCCCGACAAAAGTGCATTCCTCGCGCGAGTGTCTAGCAGTAAGCTAACAGCAGATTTTGGAGGTGTGTTGCTCTTGGTATGCGCATTAGGCGCTCTCTACCACTCTCACACTTCCGCCGACGCCTATCTGCACACGTACTCCCACAAAGCGCCAAATGCCCTCCTTATGCCATCGCTCACCGTACACTCCATACAGGCTGTCGTTTTGGAGGCACTGGCAATGCAGAACACACAAAAGTACTGCCGCAGTTGCTGGTCGGTGATTGGCTTGGGTGTGCTCCTCGCTGAGGACAGCAGGCTCGATAAAGCGCAGTGCGAGGAAGGCAAGCGAGCACTGTGGGGGCTTTATATCCTCGATAAATCTTACGCAATTAGCTGTGGTAGACGAGTACTACGAGATGGGATCGACATGGCCAAACCTGAGAGTATTAACATAAAACAAGACACTTCAATAACCTACTTCAACAATATGATTGACCTGTATGCTCTCGTAGCCGATGTCGTATCGCTGCAAAGATCGAAAGTTGTGTCTGTAGATATGGTAGATAGTTTGAATGGACGTTTGGATGAGTGGGGTAAGAGGTGCTGTCAGAAATCCTTACACTTGCCCTCGCAGCAACAATGTCTCAAGGTAGTAGGATATGGTGTCGTGAAAATATTCATCAATAAGAAGTATCTCAAGACACAAAGCACTAGCGGGCTGAACTTGTGTGTAGATGCCGCAAAGAGCATTTTATCTACACTTTATTATCTGCATTACGAAAGTGGGTTCGTTGTAAATTACACGGATGCGCTTCTAAACTGGAGTCCAATCACCGCTAGTGGTATAATGATATTGAGTGTGTGCACTCTCCGCAGCGCTCAACAACCATACGAACAGCACATGAGTTATGTTGATATAGCCATGCAAGTGCTAAGGGCTAAAAGTTTGACGGATGGTGTGGTGCGCAAGGCGTACGAATTGTTCCAAGGGTTGATCGATACGCTTCAGTTGAGATGTGCACAGCCCTCACTGGCACCGTCAGTCACTGGATGGCTGGATGAATGTATGCGTGATTGCAACAACCCCCTAAATGCTGCTGAATTAGACAGCGATTGGGTTAGTTTCTTAAATGAAATTTTTGCCGACAAAACAGTGTAGGGATGTGGAAATATATCCAGATGGATATTTCTTTCCACAATCAACCATTCACATCAGCGGGAGGCTAGAGCTATTACTTTTGTTACGTTAATGACGTAGACCTTGTTCGTACCCGTTTTCGTATGTAACGTACGTGATGTTATGTGATGAAGCTATGCATCAACCCCCAGCATTTAATCACCGTTCACTTCCCACTTCTCCCAATCTCCGCTAATAATGAAATTTAGCTTGTTTTACGCTTCTTAAGGTTTAGACTTTGCGTTAACTTAGGCTTTGAGGAATGGCTAATTCCAGCGGATATAACAGATAGAAAGTAACGGTAATTCGTTAAGATACAATAGAACGATAGTCAGACTTTTATATTTGTACCATGTGAAGTGTCGGAGGCTAAGCAGGCAGGGAGGCGGTTTGAAAGTGGAGGGAAATATATGAGGCGCGGATTGGGAGATGTAGGAAGTGAATCGTTACTAGAGAATTATGCTTTAGGCGTAGTGTCGTCACCTAAAAACCGTTGCCGCGAAATCCGCTCAAAATCATCCCACTTGTCAAATGTATTTTTAGTAAATGATTGAATTTTGTATAATAACATTATCAGATACAGCAAATTTTAATTTCGAACACCGGCAACGGACACGTTATCGTTGGTAATCTTTTATTGATTTTCTTTTAAAGAACATATGTAATTTTCACATTACATAAAAAAAAAGCTTTCGGCCGGAATCGAACCGGCGACCTCCGCGGAGCAACTGTTCACCTATTAAGGTGAGCCGATGTTAACACGGCGCTATAACCCCTAAGCCACGAAAGCTTGTGAAAGCCTCTGCCACAGCCAATTCTTATTCATTAGTGAGCCATCCTAACACAATAAAAACCCTACCAAAGATAATCTATTATCAATAGCGACAGTCAGGCGGTTCTTTCAGCGATCGTGCAATCGCAATCAACAAAGACAGGCCAATATTTGATAAAGCAGGTCCTTGACAAAATTGATTGGATTAAGCAAACAAAGAGAAGAAACTTTGTTGTCCAACTAAACTGGATCGCAGGACATGTGGATATTTACGGTAGCTAACTAGCCGACAGAACCGTTAACGAGGGTAGGACACGGCCGACCCACCGGGCTATGTGGAGTCAACTAACACTCAAAACTTCGTACTCTGCAATGCGACGCAGAATGTGCGAGCGCTATACAGCACCCATAAAAGTAGAAGCCTCCAAAATATCACACATTAAGTCCAACGCCGTAAAAACATCAGCTGGAAGGCTGACAGCAGCAAAATCGACCAAGATACTCAATGAACTGCCCAGAGCAACGAGATGCCTAGCCACCCAGCTACGGTCAGGGCAATTCCCTACGACTAAGTACTACCGTTACCGTTTCCGACTGATTGATTCACCTAAATGCAGTGCATGTGGCACAGAGGACACTATCACGCATAAAATCTTCATATGCCGTAAACATATAATGGCCAGAATCACATTAAGAAGAAAGATTACCAAGATCAATATTCGTTTCGAATTAGGTCCAATACTCAGAAACTCACACTCTCTACAAGCCCTTTACGAGTTCTTCAAACCGTAATTGACTACGTACCAAAGATACTCCGGTGGTTCAGCGTAATTGAGAACCACCAACAATTCAGAAATTACGACGCTAGTCAAGAAACGCTTCCAGTGAATTCGGCATCCCCTTTGACTCCTCATGCCTTAAGAAGTATTGATCGACGCAGTTTAAACATGTATCGTCTTAACAATATATTTAGATTTCATCATCATCAACTCAAACAAAAGGAGGGATGGACGGTCATCATCGAAAATCGGCTGCTTTGCCGGATGGGCATCAAAGTCCTCCCAGTGAATCCTCAAGCGTCGCACTTTACGGGAAGCACTTTTTAAACGATATATCGTTTGATTTAAGTGCTCAAGACCCACGTAAAAACCTCACCGAGTCGCAAGACAGGAGGACACAGAGCCTAAGGCTCAATGATAATTTAAATTAAAGGCGTAGAACCAGCACCCACGCTTATAAAAGTCGTCCCCGTACACCTGCGGTAAAGGAGAAAATATCTAAGGCGATGGAGCAAGTCCTCGAAAAGTTCAAAGTAGAGGCGAGAGACACATTGAGAGAGTGTCTACGTGAGCAACAGGACAATTACGCCAAATCTCTCAAGGAGACGATCCTGGCACTCGAGCAGCAAATACACGAATTAAAGGAGCAAAACGTAGCGCCACAACTTATGCCTGCAGCACCAACGTACGCACAAAAAGCAGCTGCAGAAACCCCAACGGTACCGTCAAAAATGGCAATCACGCTCACACTTCATCAAGCCGACCCAGCCAAGCCAGTGCTGAGTGATAATGATTAAAAGCCGGCCGATATTAAGAGAGTAATGGACGAACACATAGCAAAGACGTTCGGTGACCAACTTAATATCACGAAGAACTTCATTAGCACCTCCAAACGTCTCCCCCACAAACTTCTCCGAATGTTCTCACTAATCCCATTGTTCTTTTCCTACGTCACGTTTTTGGTAAAAATGCTTGAACAGAGAGACGTTCTCATAGGGGATGTAGTCTAGTGGTTATGGCGCTTTCTTAGCATGGAAGAGGTCCCCGGTTCAATTCCGGGCATCTCCAGATTCTTTTTTTTTTTCAACTAAACGTTTTTTCCGCTAGTGCGGATAATAGGTAGAATTCGAGCGTTTAGTTAAGAATTGTCCACAATTATATGCCCAATATAGAGTGTTGTCCGTGAATTTGTAGTACTTGTCCACAATATCTATACCTCTATGACAAGCAGTAGCAATAACAGTATCACCTTGCTCTAAAAATGAATCTCTCTTATCGCCCAAATAATATGTCAGATCATCGAGGTCTGTCATAAAGACGAGCAACGGAACCGGTGTTGGGATGTGGATCCTCGAAGTTCTCAAGTCAGACAAAAGGGTATCATTGGGCTGTCTTGCAACATCTTGACGACACTGATATCGACGTTGAGGATGATACTGTTGGTGGACAGTCTCGTTGTCCTAAACAGAATGTTTAGACAGAGGGTAAGACAGAAAGGCGGTACACCCACGTGAAACAAGACCGGAGCAGCTTTGCGCCAAATTCTATTATACAATAGTAGACAACCCTCGTGGAGGGATGGGCGATGGTGGCGCAGTACCTCACGAATGTGTTAAGGGAAGTGATAAGGTCATTTACGCCGCTATTACTTGTCATACTAGGAACGTGATTAGCCGGACAGCTAGACAGCTAAGTAGCTGACAAGTACGACTCACTCAGTGAAAATCACAGACACAGGCTTGAGTTATATCTTGCTTGCTGTACCCTTCTTCTCCCCGGTAGCTTTGTCGATAATTAGGTGTCACTTTGTGCAGGGAGATTGAACATGACCTGGATGGGATAAGACATGCGAACCGACGCGTTTAAGGAACCAGACGGAGACTTTACTATCTAGTGGCAACGACCGGGAGCTATAGAGCTAGGCCTGACGTCGTACGCGTACGTGGAGCCGTAGTTTTCCTCGATTGCCTAGGAAGAAGACGGAAGAATTCAGGGAAGAGCAGAAAATGCGGAGTGGAAGCAAAGGCTCACGAGGAAGGATCTCATATCACGCAAGATATCCTTCCAGTGACGACCTTTTGACTTGGTTGCTTCGATATTGGAAGTCTTCTCATCGGGAAGGGGTTTGAAGTGACCGTTGCCTGATTTTGGAGATAAAAGGTTCGCCTTGGCTGGTAATTGAACGGATTGGAACATCCTTGTGGGATTTTTGTTTTGAGCGTAAGAGATAATAGAAATGATGGAGTGATAGCACTCCAACGGAATGAGGATATTATGTGCAATAATGAGCTGTAAGATAAGCATTTGCAGATTTCTTGATACTAAAACATTTCGTCTACTTTCCATGCCCGCGTACTTCCATGCAAACAGATGACTCTGCTATGCCCTTGGAAATACTGAGAGGTAACAGCCTTAATTTGCTATCCAGACGAGCTAAAATCTCAATTTAAAACGTGCTTATCACGAGGCATGAGCTATCTCTTATCACTTCATTCAAACTACCGTCATCTTGATAGCAAACAGAGGCAACAATGGAAAATCTGTTGAAGAATTTGAAAGATACAAAGGTTATTAATAATGGTTTGTACGCATTACCGTAGCGTGTGTCAACTTACATTGACTAGATCCGCTGGCCAAAAGGATCGCGATCACTGCAATATCTCCCGAGAAAGAGCTAGCGTTGATCATAATGGAGAAGCTGACATTCGATGATGAGAATGTGGATGCACAGCTGCAACAAACCTCCACTTCACACAAGCTGATTCAACAAAACGACATTTACCACGTCCTGCTTAGTGACAGCCACAGACGCAACGATAAACTAGACAATCAGAAAGTAACGATCATATATCCAGCCACACAGAAACACGTGGACAAGTATTCTAAAGCGAGTATCTCACTCTTCAGAGAAACGCCTCAGAAATACAACGATATCGTTAAACCATACATCGATAGTCTCCCTGAGAAAGAAACAAAGTGGTGGGCCTTTACTGATAATACATCCGTCATTAACAGTGAGAAGGATACAAGCGCTAGTTTCAGGCGAAGCAGAGAACGAGACATACTATTACAGAGGTCAAGAATTCGTCATAGCCGCCGACTACAAGTGGGATAAGAAAGACTTTAACACCCTCTATCTCCAGGCGGTCGTGAAAGACATGAATCTCAAGTGTTTGAGAGATCTTCGCACTCACCATGTCTCACTGCTCAGGAGCATCCGCAGGGAGATTGGTAATGTTTTGAAGTCGAACTGGGGATTGAATCTGAGTCAGGTGAAGCTAGCTGTGCATTACCAGCCCACGTTTTGTGAGTGCTAACTTGTCCATTGTCTACATTTTCATCCCAATCAAACTCAAGACGTATTTCATGTCCACGTTGTCTCTGTCAACTACAGCTCGTTTCCTGGGTTGAACGTTGGACAATCACATCTGCTCGATGATATTATTGAAATGGTGGGTTGTTCGGCTCAGTGGGGTTGTGTTGACATTCCTTGTAGCTTTCTTTGAAGGGTGACATTTTCTCGCAGATGACTCTAACGTACCATCTCTCGGATCTACACAAGCTTCATCATCTCCTCAAACCACACGAGTCAGATAGGGACTTGGAACATGGTGCTTAGGGGAGCTAATCTTTGCTTGCCAGGTTATTGCCTGAAACTTTTTTCGGACAACAATCAATGTATTGATGTGCGACATTCGTTCGCTCGAATGAAAGAATAAAACGTTTGCCTGGGAGTTTGGCGCGTGTAATTTAACCTATTCCCGTCGCCTGATACTTCTTCTGCCGATAAGCAGCTCAAATGCTATAGTCTCGGCATAATGAAGTTGTCGGAATCTTCGCTTATTTGATCTGTCTTGTTATGCTTCAAGTTTAGCACGACCTGAAGCAGCTGAGCCTTTGTAATAAGCAATAAGAAGCACTTAAGTATTCTCAGAGTGATTGTGCTAGTCAGTAGATGTTGAATGATTTCCGTTGAGTCGATCTTTTCCAACAATTAAACGCAAACTTGTCGGCTACCTAGACGTTACTAGGTTTCATATTGACATTTAGACGTCACAAAAATTCCTCTAAAAAATACATCGCGTCCAGTCTATTACGTGGTTATTTGATGTGAATAATTGGGGGAAAATGCCTGCCAGTTATCACATGTGTTACGATTGCAACAGTAAAGATTTAATAGTAGCTTCAGGTAATCATGTTTGCTTCTCTAGAAAAGTGATGTTTAACCAATAAAATTTATAGTTTGCTGAAGCGTCATATTTCACATTTAGATTCATACAACTATTTTTGACAATCTGACAATGTCATATCGCTTTATTAAGCAGCCCGCTACCAAATTGCAATCTGAGTCATCTTAAAAGTTTGTTAGGAAAAGTGTAAGAATCTTTCGTGCCCATACTCTTGGGTCTTAAGAGACTGCTTTTCACCTTCTAGATCTCTATGGTGTTCTCAAAAAATATTTACACATTGGGAGCAATACCGATCACAAGGGATGAATCGTAGATTTATAGTATACATTCGCTTTGGAATATTTGTTACTCTCATTACTCCAGCTCAATGGATAAATGAGTAGATCAAGAATGTTAAAGAGATGTGGGTTATTTATACTGGATATTTACCTTGGATCATGCATACTTTGACAGACGGCATCGATGTTGTTCTCGCATTTCCGTGGATGATAGTGAAACACTTAAATTTATTGGAGCTTATTAATTACTGTATACTGTAAACTTCTACAAGTCGGGCAATCTGCCCTTTAAATGAGAGGGATTGGAGTGCAATTAATACCAACGAGACCATCGTCCTCGACATCTTCACAGCAGGTTGGGGTGTTCTTGCACTCATCTGTGGACTTTCAGTTGTGATGTGAAACGAGAGCATTTACTCACCTTCTATTGCAATTCCGATCAAGAGAGGGATCTGAGTACATTGGATGGCAACTTGGTCGAGGACGTCGCCGGTGTGGAGAAGGCCTGATTCTTCACCAGTTGACTTTTGGACCTTCTTGTTGGTATCGCAACACGCGAGTTTTCCAGTATTACATGAGCCGGTCTTGGATTCCCAGCCAGCTGAGACAGAGGCTACGAGAGCAGTAGCGAAGACGGCCTGAGCGATCATAGTGAGATTGGAGGAGTATTGGATTGTAGTATTAACTAAAGAGTGCAATTGGATTTTATATCTTGCCATTTTTAATCTAAGTTTAGGCTCACTTTTAGTTTTACCTCTAGTCTGCCATTTGTGCGTTCATACCGGCTATTCAGTGGAAGCAGGAAGGTGGGGGTGGGTGAGGTTGCCTTGACGCGGGGATGGATCGAGATGAGTACATTGAGGTAGCTCAATTAGCGCAAACGTTTGATAAATATGGCTAACTCGCGTTATTTGGAAGAAGTGTAGTACAGTTGGATGAGCAGCACATCATGCATAACAAGTGAAAGTACTCCATCTGCGAGAATAACCAACGGTTGACTAAGTGAAATCATACGACAAAAATATGTCTTCCAACGTATTGAAAAGGTAAATCGCAAAACATGCATTAACCCGGAATTGAACCGGGGGCCGATCGAATCAATCTCTAAGATGGCAACGATCGAGGTTACCACTACCCCATTAATGCTTGTACTTAATCCAATTTTTGCAAAATATATATCAATACAACATGAAAGGCGCTAAAATTAATAAAACAAAGTCTAAAATTTATTCTTCACGACTACTTCCTACCGTTACCATTTCCGACTGATCGATTCACCTAAATGCAGTGCATGTGGCACAGAGGACACTATCACGCATAAAATCTTCATATGCCGTAAACATATAATGGCCAGAATCACATTAAGAAGAAAGATTACCAAGATCAATATTCGTTTCGAATTAGGTCCAATACTCAGAAACTCACACTCTCTACAAGCCCTTTACGAGTTCTTCAAACCGTAATTGACTACGTACCAAAGATACTCCGGTGGTTCAGCGTAATTGAGAACCACCAACAATTCAGAAATTACGACGCTAGTCAAGAAACGCTTCCAGTGAATTCGGCATCCCCTTTGACTCCTCATGCTTAAATTACTTACATTCAAGCACGCTTTGGTAAAAATCAAGGAGCTGAAGGTTTTCAGATGCACTGGAGATACTTGTTTCGACTACTGCAAGGGCTACGATTTCGATGACATGATTGATTCCGGGAGTCAACAATGAATTATGACAAGCTCAGTATGTTTAAAAGTCTAAGAGGTTTTACTATGTTTGAATGCACTTCCCCTCATTTGTGGATGGGTTCAATGAAGGCCTCTACGATGTGCATTCGCCTTTGCTAGAAGATCTAAGGTTAGGTCTTTACGGGGTATCATACGATTACGCGATACCAGATGAAACTATGAAACGGTTTGTGTCTCGTCACTCTCATAAGAAGTATACTTCGTGGAACGACGGGTAGTGGTTTGTGTGGTTCCGTTCTGACATACAGAACATTTGGCTCGATGAAGTTGTAGAATCAATACGAAAATCAGTCCAATATAATAAGATTGTTGTTCATATTGTTCAGTTTCACCACAGCCCACACACCAGCTCACAATCCCACCTCCTCACAAACACCTCCGCACGTCAATTACACTCACTTTTTTTTAGAGAAAACCTCCCTAATTGAGCGTATTAGGTGTCTTGAACAGCCTTGGTTTTTCTTGTGCGTCTTTTTGTGAGCTTTGTAGGCGGGAATGCTTGAGTATTCGAGGAGCGAGCAGCAAGTGAGATAAGCGGGTTGGAAAATGCAGAGGGGAGTGGGTAAGTGCTGTTTAATGAGCATGTGGGCAGTATCCACAACATTCACTTTAACATTCGCGTCGAGGTTCAGTTCATGTGCGGACTTTCTTGCAAAGTATTTGCGCAAGCTGGAGCTGGCTTCGTGAGGTAAGATGTGTGACGAGCGGTGATAGTGATCCTCGAACCACATGACGAACTGCATATCGCATATCACATGAGACGATATAATTACTCGGCAAAGTCACACTCACCTCCAGATTCTCCATACTCCTCTCCTGCTCCCGCAAGTAAAAACAAAATTTCCGCCGTCCCTTACCGTCACCCATTATCACCCCAAGTGTTCCTCTCATTGTACCAATTTGCTCTGTCGTTGGCGTCGACATTGGGCGTTTGATATTTTTCACACCTCGCCCACCAAATTTGAGTTTGGGTTTTGGCTTTGTGAATGGTGCATCGGCTAGGGCCGCTTGCAAGCGATGTGAGTGTGAGTTTGTGATTTTGTGATAGGTGATGGCTCAGATTGCTCAGGTACGCGGGGGAGTCAAATGTCAAAACTATATATAGGTCTTCTTTTGTTGTGAGGACACGCCCTCACCTGCTTTGACTGCTCTGACTACACCGTCTACTCCGTCACCTCGCCTCTGAGCGATACAGGAACGAGCTGACGAACGCGCTCGACGGGGAGAGAGGTGGAGAGAAGATAAGAAAGTTTAGTAAGAGCGGCCTGTGATGGGATTAGGTGAAAGTTTGTACACCATACAATCGCATACCTCAGACGTCAGATCATTTCCAGGCACAACTCCAGCCTCAGCGAGCAGACGGCCGTTTTCATAAGCCGCGTTGACAGATCCACTGTGGCATTGGGAGGTGTTAACAATAACAACGCCGTCTTCGGCGGCTTTCTTGAAGCTAGCGAGGAGTGCATCGTTCCTCGCAATGTTACCTGACAGGAGAGCACATTGAGCATGTATTTTGCACACTAACATCCACTTACCACTTCCAAACGACTGCAGAACGAGCGCTGATCGCCTAGCGCGTTTCAAATCGGCCAGGATCGCCTCGACGAGGTGTACCTTGAGGCCAGGGAAGAAGCGTAAGACGCATATCTCCGGCGAGAGGGCTGTGGGAGGGTGAGAGTTTCTGGAGCAGTTTGGGAAATGCACGTACACTTGTGCACTCTCAATGCATCCCCAGACTGGCGCTGGACCGATGGCCAGTTGACATCCAACCGCGTGCCCACCTTGGCCAGTGGAGGGTAGTTGTAGCTGCGAAAAGCGTCAAATTCGCTCGTAGACACCTTGGTGCTTCTGTTGCCTCTCAGGAGCTGGTCATTGAAGTATATGCACACTTCAGGTACACACTCAGTGCCCGCGAGGAGAAGTGAGTGAAGTATATTGTCGCTGGCATCTGCGCGAATGTGCGTGAGTGGGATCTGGCTTCCTGTGAGCAGAACGCTCTTAGCGAGTCCCTCGAGCATGAACGAAAGCGCTGAGGCGGTGTATGACATGGTATCTGTCCCGTGCAGCACTACGAATCCATCGAAATTACTATAGTTGAGCTCTATGTCGCTGGCAATCTTCGCCCACTGCTCCGGTCCAACGTCGCTCGAATCTAGCAGCGGCGCATACTCTAGTATCACATAGCGCACTGTGTGTTCGAACCCATTCAGGTACGTCCGAGGCGTCTGCAGTGTTTCCAGCTCCCCTGTGTGGGTATGTGCGCTGCATGCGTCAGGCACGCTACCTTGGAATGGTGAAGAGGAGCGCACGGTAAGTTTCTGGCGCGCGGGTGTAGCACCACTCTTTTGCATGCTGTTCCAAACCTCGTACGCCTGCTTGGACGTTAAGTTGGAAAAAATCGAGCTGGCGTTTGGATCGTCAAATCGCGCCTGTGAGCGGAGTATGTCGCCAAGGAGATTACTGTGAGGCTGATAGCTGCCATTTGCATTTGCAATCATTCCTATCGTTCCACCTGTATAAATCACTAGCACTTTCTTCTCAATCATGGCGGTGTTGATGCAAATCCTACGTCAGTTAGTCCACCGCGATAAGCGAGGTGAAAATTATCGCAAAAGGTATAAAAACAGCTTGTATACAAATATTATACGCAGACGCAGATGCAATTACATTCAATCCCCTTCACTGCCTCCATAGTCATCGTGATCCTCCTCCTCCTCCTCCTCATACACTCGATAGACGCGTCCATCGCGTTGGGTCCAGCGTCCAGTCGCATCCTCAAATGTAGTGTTCTCATGCGCGAATTCATATGCATATGGAGAGGCAGTCGCACCCTGCACCTCCCACCCCTCGTCTCCCTGTCTGATATGTCTGTTGTGTCTCTGCCGCGACGAAGAGGGCGTCAAGCGGGGATTGAGGCCAGTCTGGTACGTCCATGGCGACTGGTTGAGGGTGAATCTAGTAGGCGCGTCGTCACCGTCGCTGTAATCGAAGCTGTGCGCGTATCCCTCGACACGCGGTGGCCAGCTATCTGCGTCTGTGTGGGTTGTTAGTGAAGTGAGTGGAAAAGTGGAGGGATATGTTCACGCGCAGAGGGGAAGTGGGAGTGGGGGTGAGTGAGTGAGTGTGAGTGAGTGAGTGTGAGCAGCCACCAATGAATCAGTATGATATGCATCTATGCAATGATTTGTGTGTGTTGAATGACAATGCAATGCAGGTACTCTGTGTGCTAACCCCTCAGAATTCACGCCAGCTCAAGCAATCTACCCTCGAGAAGACTCATTTCACTCTCAAACTCAACACCGCGCATGTGTTCGTCGGGTGTAACGTGTGTGTTAACAGGGCTTCCATCGTCGAGTTGAAGAGCAGCGTGTGGTGCCTGCCCACGCCTACGCCTACTTGCACTCGCACCCGACTCGCGCAGAATACTCCTCCCTCTGACGTGAACATCTACCCACTTGCCTGAATTTGTGGCGGTGGGGTAAGCAAGCCCGTTGCCATGCATGCGCTGTGGTACGAGCCATAGCCAAGGTCTATTACCGAGCACGGCGCAGATGTTCTCATACACTGAGAGCTGATAAGGGTATTTAATCTGAGACTCGTTAGCGAGTAAAATTCGCTCCCGAATCCCTCACTTACATCGCGTATCCGTCCTCTGCGCGCTAAATTAGCCACCTTGTCTTTTTCCCAAGACTCGATGGTCGTCGTGTTGGTGCAGAGTGCGTAGAATTGGTATAGCGAGAAGCTGCCAACGACGATGAGTGTGAGCAGGCAGGCGATGTAATTTGCGACGATCAGCGCTGTTTCGGCGTTATCAGGGACGGGTGTCTGGGGGTGTTAATGTTAGACAGAGACGCTAAGCAAACACACCGCGCCCACCGGGTAAAGCACCCTGTTGGACAGGACATAGAGGAGAAAGACGCAGCCAACATTGACGCCAACCAGAAATCGGATAAAGTGGCCGTAGTTGTAGAATCCAATGCAGTTGTTCATCCACGGGCAATAGTGATCCATCCGCAGAACACATCTGCCTGATTTGGAGCAGTGGTGGGCGCGGGGAGGTTTATAGACGTGACAGGATCTACAATATCTTGGCGTAGCGGGGTTTTCGAGTGTGTCTTGAGTGTCTCGGAGTGGTTCCTGGGTGAGTGTTAGTTTATGTGGGGGGTGAAATAGCACCACTCACATAATCCACTGGCACTCCACCTGGATCGGTAGTAGTACATCGGAAGTAATTGTAGAAGATGAAGAATGAGAGAATGCTACGGTGAAAATCTTCATCAGCGAGGATAGCAGAGATGAGAAAACAGCGCACTTCACCACAACAACATCTCTACGCCGATAGTAAGTGCCATATAGCTGGAACGAGAAGCTCAAGAAGGAGATGAGCGCAGTCACGAGAGATATCCACAATCGACCGAGATACGTCGTCCAAGATGATTTCCTGTCGCTGGTTGAGTGCATTCAGCGTATTATATTAAATTTTAAATTTTATTTCTTTTATCTTGACCGTGTTGGGTTAACAAGGCTTCTTAACACCTAACGGCCATCTCCACACCGCCATGGTCAAGAAACGCAGGATTGAAAATAAGCCGTGGTGCTGGTACTGCGAGAGGGAATTTGAGGATGACAAGGTGTTAATCTCGCACCAGAAAGCCAAACACTTCCGCTGTACGCTGTGTCCACGTCGGCTGAACACTGCCAATGGTCTAGCGGTGCACTGCCAACAAGTACACAAGCTCGAGGCTGACAGGATTGAAAATGCGCTGCCAGGGAGATCTACCTTTGAGATTGAAATATTCGGTATGGAGGGTGTACCCGCACCAGACAGAGCCGAGTATGAGCGCAAGAGGGCTGAGGCTAGAGGCGTCGATCTCAACAAGAAGAACGCTCCTTCTAAGCGCCAGCGTATCTTTAAGGGCGTTATCAGCGACGCGGATTTCTACTCGCAGCTACAGGCACACCGACACATTATGAGCGGTGGCAAAATGCTCGCTCCACCTGGTGCTGTGCCTAGTGCAGGCAACCCAGGCAACCCAGGAAGCTCAGGCACTCCGACCAACCCCACCAACCCAGCCCCTCTCACCAGCTAAATGAAATCAAGTGTATTTATATAAATTAGATCATGTTCTATACAGTGTATCTTTTGGATATCTGCAGTAGCTGTCTTGGATGAAGGAGACGACGTAAGTGCCTGATTTGTGTTAGTGTGTGTGTGCAAGCAGTTGCACCAACTCACCCTCCAACGACGAGTAAATTGAATGCTCATGTTCCATAATATCCGTCACTGTATGTCTCTCGAGCACTCTGCCCAGTTCATGCGAGCGTCCACGCTGGATGTTTTCTCTACGCTCGTACGTGAAAGTGAAAGGGGGAGTGCCAGTGAAGGAGAAGCGAATTTCAGCTTGATCGCCTTCGCGAATATCTTCAATATAAGTGTCTCCCTCGCTAACCGAGGCTGCAGGGAGAGGGTGAACGCTACGGCGAATATCCACAGCGCTTGGGCAACGCTGGGAGTGGTGGGATACCTCCGTGATCGCAAAGCGACCTTCCTCCTCAGCGACGCGGCTGAAAAGCGCCGAGCGGCTCTTTACCGTGTTCGTTACGCCGTCCCATTCGTACCGCACAACCCAGGGTGCACTACCGCCTAGTTGGAAATCCATGCTGTCACCAACACATACATCCTCGGCGCGAGCGCGCGGCACGACAGTAGCTGATTCCGCCACGTCGATGAGGGTGCTGCGACGGTGTGCACTGCTCTCCTCACCCCCATCAGCCACACACGCACTCGCGTCGTGTACGCCGACAATACTGATGCGGTGTGCGCCGAAAGCTAGCAAGCGCAGCGGGGAAAGATCTAACGCCCACAGCGGCTCGCGGATATCGCGCACAGATACGCGCCGAGCATGTGCTCCTCCCTCCTCGACTACCTCCAGGTCAAGCACCCACGGTGCTGTGCCGTGCAGCTCGATGAGGGGGGTGTGAGTAGGGTGTGTAGCGTGCTCACGCGGCGCTAAGACATCGCCCAGACAGTACGACGCGCGTGGTGTATGCGCGAATTGCGCATAGGGTCGCTCTACCACTACCTGCTCTACTTGCACCTGCGCACTCCCACTCCCAGCCAATGCGTAATTTGCATCACCAACACCCGCAAACCGGTACACATGTGTGCCAGCCACCGCTGTGTCGAGACTGACGAGAGGGTTTTGACGCACACTCGCAATGCGCTCGTCCGCTCTTGCACCGCTGTGTGTGTGCTCGTACACCACCTCGAATGGCGGCTCGCCCGAGATAGCGAGGGAGACAGCGCTGTCATCGTAAGTGCACACGGGCGGGAGTGTGTGATGATGTTTGCGCTTCTGCTCCTGCGTCTGCGTTTGCTTACCCAAACTGAGCGACGGGCGTGGGATAAAGTCAAGCGCAAAACTATCCTCACCGGTGACAACAGTACCAGGGCAATGAGCATCCCGCACCTCCGTCAGCCGATACAACCCCTCGCTGTCGACGACAAGGTCAGTCTGGCGCGAGTGGGTGGTAACGGTGTGAGCTTGCCCACCATGCTCATATCCTACCACCCAAGGCGGATCGCCTGTCACGCGTACGGGTATATACGCTGACTCTCCATCGCGTACTGTGGCACTGGTGGCGCCCGATAGCCTTGCGGTCGGCTTAACCCTCTGCACGACCACTGTGTAATCCTGCGCTAGCGCCTTGCGACAACGCCTGCTATCCTCGACGCCAGCAAGGCTGACGCGGAATTGCCCCCCAAGGCGATCAATGTCTGCAGGTATGGGCACAGCGAGTGTGTGACGACGGTTGTGTATATCCTTCTCGCTGAATGCAGTGGGTGCGGCGATGGAAGATGCACTCGTTCCACTCGTCTGGTATTCTAGCGTCCATGGACCGCTCCCTGTGAACTCCACTTGGACATCTATCGTCCCGCTTTCGCAGCTCCACACGGTGCGTTTGGTAGATGGCTCGGCGAAGGACGCACCTGCAAGTGGATGTACAACCTGCGTCGCCGTTATGCCCTCGCCTCGCTCTCCTAGTGCGATATCGCGGTAGTTGGCATCAGACAGCGCTAGGAACGTGTACTTGTACTCGCCCTCACGCTCCGGTGTCAATGAGAGCTCATCTCTGCTCGCGTGAATCCGCTTCTCTACCCGCTTCGCTTCGCCAGCAAACTCGACAAGGTATGCTAGCGTGAATGGCGCTGCACCGGTGAGGGCCATCTGAGCGCGTATACCGACTTCCCCGCTACAGTCTTCTATAGTACGTATATCCATATTGAGTGTCGGTCTGGGTGTGGTCTGCACGCCGCACACGTCGGGAAGGTGCGTTGCGCCGATGCAGTACTCACCGCGCACCTCCTCCATCTTGTAGTAACCAGGGCGAGTGACTCGCAAGGCAGCGTGTGTGTGTCCAGCGGGAATGTGCACACTGAGCGGAGTAGACGCACCGCTGCGCTGTAGATCCGGATTATCGAAATAAGTTACGCTAACATCAACGCCCCCTTCCGCTGGGGATATACCACCAACACTCACACTCAACTCGGCCGATGCTTTCTCGCCCTCCAGTAGCCGCACGGGCTGCTCAGCTGTACAGCCAGCGAACTGTACAACAGGGCGTGGGTGCGAGTTGTAGTGCACAGATGACGACGCATGCTGTAGCCCCGACTCGTACAGCGATGGGTATGGCTCGTTGGCGAAGAAATCAGCCAGTGAAGCCAGCTCAAGACTGTATGCACCGGCCCTGTCGAGCGTAACGTTGATAGGGATGGAGGTTGTCGTTGATACGGCGCGTGCATGCGCTGCAGATGTCGTGTACGCTGTCGAGCCGATATTATCCAGTTTTCGCAAATCACTTCCCTCCGGGCCGCGGCTGATCCAACCAACACTGGCACCGCCGGCGGAACGCACACCCAACTGAAGGCCAACCTTGTCGCCGACACAGCGGTCGCCGTGGTTGGGTTGTGTGGGTTGGTCACTAGCGAAACCAGCAGAGGGACACTCTACAACGACAGCCTCAGTGCGTGCTAGACGGGCGTCTAATTCGGAAGACTTGTCGACGACGTGCTTAAGGCGGACGATGAAAGGGGGTGGAGGAAGTGAGGAGGGATTAAGTGGAATGTAACGGATATTTTGAGTTTTCTGGAGGCGTGGAGGGGCACTGACACCTGGACCACGGGGCAAGAGAGCCAACTCGTCGTGTGGGGAGTACAAGTCGTGGTTAGGGTCGAAGAAATCATCGTCATCATCAGCGTACCCAAGCCTGCTCTTCTCTAGCTCCCTGCCTTGGATTTCCACTTGGCTTTCCTCGGCCAAGCTGCCGTCGTGGTTGAGGGGGGTGACAGAGTAGGCGAGAACGAGAGGATCGGTGTTGTTGAAGAGAATAGGCAGGGCGATTGGATTGGTGGGAGCTATGGGTACACAGAAAGACTGAGTGGTTGGGTTGAGCTTTGCGGTGCTGAAGCCACCAACTCTAACCGTGTGCTCGCCTCTGAGATGGCTATCGCGGTTACCGATGACGTCCTTGAGCCTAACGCTGTGTTCCTGCGGAGTTTTGTAGAAAGTGAACGCGTTTAGCAGGGAAGAAGGGATTATGAGTGTGGATAACTGGGTTACGGGTAGCTGGGGAGAGTGAGAGGAGGAAATTGAGCAAATAGACTACGCACCTTCCAACTGCCCAAGAGGAACCAATCAAATGCAAAGAACGCGGCTGCTGCAGCGACCCACACGGATTTGTGGAATCTCAGTCGAGGGATCCGCAACCACCAGATAAGCAAGATAGCAGAGAGATCGATCAGCGACCATCTATAGAGAGCGATTTCAGAGTCTAGAAGGCGTGTAGAGCTCTGTGTGGACCATAGGGAGAGAGAGATGGATAATTTGTATGCTTGGAGGGCAGTGAGGGCGCTAAGAGCGAGTAGGCGCTGAGAAGGGGCGTTGAAGATGGAAGTGGGGATGCGTGGGAGATGTGCATCAGCCACGGTGCGCGGGGTACTCATGGACGTCTGAGATCAAGGAGGAACACGGCGCTGAGATCAAGGAGGAACACGGCGGGAGATTCGATGGGAGATGAACGAGTAAAATACATGAAATCTAATAAAATTGATTGGATCGTTGCTAGGCAGCTATCTATCTAGCTAAGACGTAATCGTATGGCTCACCTTTGACAGGCTTGCCAGACATGGAAGCAGCCACCCAGGATTTGAATTGGTTGCGATCTCTGAGTAGATCGTTGGCAGCGTCCTTGTTGAGTGGGTCCTCTGCGTTGGGTTCGAGGAACAAATACTGTAAACCAACGACAAGAGCGTTGAGATTGAGAACAGGCTTCCAGTCTTCGCGGAGAATATTCAAGCAGACGTTTCCCTGGTGATCAAGATTTGGGTGATAGATCTTCTGGGTGAGCTTGACTTTGGGTGCCTCGTGCGGGTAGTTGTTGGAAATATTGAAGGTGAATTTGAATGAACCGCCTTTGTACATGCCTGGGAGTTTGTTAGTCTTAGCGTGTTAGATACAGCCAGACAGCCACCTTCATCTGGCTGTATAATCAGCTCAAAGTTGAGTAAATCTGACGGATTGGGGAAGTTAGTGGACATTGTAGACGGTAGTTCTAGCTCTGTAATGTCTATTGGCTTTGTTAGCTTGTCCACCTGCAGGTTAGGTTAGGTTAGTCACCCTTCTGCACCCTCAACTGAGCAGCACTCGTCTTTGGCTTCTTCTTCTGCCCGTTCTCGGCCTCCTTCTTCATTGACCAGATCTGTGTACTCGTTTAGCTGTGCCTCTACTCGCCTACCCACTCACCTTAATCATCGTCGACGTATATTTATAAAGAGTGTTTTCACTTCAATTCTCAGTCTTATCATCTCACTGTGTGTCTCCGTGTTCTACTCTTTCTTCTCGCTCTACGCATACCACCCACATCAATATCATCATCTCAATCACTCTTTCGTTTATATTTTCATTATTTTTTACATGATTACATCATTCCTTAGCTCTTTCCCATCACACCTCCCTTTTACTTTCAAGCCCCCATCGATTCACACAGTTTGATCAAATTTTCACCGATCCGAGTCTTAGGTGGTGCGATTTCTGTTACCTCTTTACTGTTTGGCGAGCTCTCCACCGACCCTCTACCCGTCCACAAGAACAATGAGCTGCTTTTTGCGATCGATGGCATCACATTCTTCGCATATCCCATAGATGGCAGCATTTCCAGCCAGTCGTCGCACCTGTATTCGACCTTGTCGACCTTGGTCTTGGCAAGCTGCTCCACTGCCTCCACAACTGACCTTCCATTCTCATTCTCCGGTCCTGCAAGCACGTATTTGGCGTGGTTGTGTTGCGTGTAGTCGCTGCTATTGAGCAAATGTCCTGCAAAAACACCGACGTCATCTGGATCTATCATCGCAACTGGTTCCTTCTCATCCAGCATCACCTTGAGCGTATCCTTCTCGCCTGTTTCCTTGTACTTGTTTAACCAGAGTGCCGCTGTGACCAGGAATGTGTTCCCGAAAAAGTTGGGTTGGAGGGATGTCCACTGCAACTCCTTGAACTCAGGTTGGCTGAGCAGGTTCTCTATCGCCCAGTGGTTCCTCCCGTAGTAAATTGGACTCGCTGGTCCTATAAAATGAACAAACGTCGATATCCTCACCACATACTTCACTCCTGCGTGTAGCGCTGCAGTGTACAAGAGCGATTCGTCCGTAAAATGTGATGGCAGGTTATGAGAAGCCACAAATACCTTTTGGATGTTATGAGACTTGAAGAAATCCACATCAACGGTCGTCCAGTCCTTCTCAATTACTTGGGTGTTTGGCAGTTTTTCCAGGTCCTTTGCGATTGGGTTGTTCAGTGAGCGTGTGAGTGCGATTATTGTTGTGTTGCTCAGCTTGCTCAGTGTGTTTACTACGCTCTTGCCGGTGTTGCCGGTCGCGCCAATTATGAGTGTTGTTGCCACTGTCATTGCGTCTGTGTTTTTGTGATGACGGTCACTATGGTTGAAAATGCGCTCCCTTTATACCCCTGATTACAAATTAATGCAGCCCATACATTCCCCAACGCTTACCAATTCTTCTGCTTATGAATCCAACTACGTCATTTCGGTTTCCTTATCAATCTCATCTACTAAACGCATGTCCCAATTCGCGAGCAAAGCGTGAGTGGAATGAAAGCACGCTCAGCCACCACACCAACCCACTCCACTTCAGCTTCTCTTCTTCCAAGTACGCAGCTGCGCGTCCGCGCTACACGACGGCGCTTCTCGATGAGATAATGCGCTACCACGGCCGCCGCAGTATCCGAAGTGCAGAGCTGGGCTGTGGACCAGGCACGATAACGAGCTACCTCGCCGCCCACTCCGACTGGGTGCTAGCGACTGACCCGTCCGAGCAAATGATTCGCGAGGCTGGGAAGGGTTTGGCGGGTGCGGACAATGTGCAGCTGCGCGAGGCATCTGCTGGAGAGCTGCCTTCTCTTCTCACCGAACCCGTCGATCTCATCGTTAGCGCACAAGCCGCACATTGGTTTCACTCCCCGCCCAACCACACCGCTGACTGCAAGTTGTGGGAGCTACTCGGCGATGCTCTCACCAGCGGTGGCTCACTGGTCTACCTGGTGAGTTTGGCGGCACACAGCACAAATCTTATCTTATCTTATCTCAGGTCTACGGAGACGTACAACTCCTCAGCCACCCACATCTCCACGCTTTTGCCTCCTTCAAAAACACCTGCGCCCCTTACTGGCAGCAGCCCGGTCGCCGGTTCCTCGAGAATCTCCTCCGAGACATTCACTTTCCTAGGTGGGGAGTGAACAATCGACGCTTATTCTACGACAGCAGCACCGAGTATAAACTCAAAAGTACCACATCTATTGATGCCTTTGCTGAGTATCTGGCGACCTGGTCGAGTTACTCCAAGTACTGTGAGTTGCACCCAACCAACACACTCATCAGTGATCTCAAAAATGGGATTAATGAGGAAATTGGTGATGCGAATGCTATTTTGGAGATGGCCTTCCCCGTCTCGTTCATGATGTGTCAAAAGCTTTGAGATGGGTATACATGGTGGAACATTTACATTGTACGTACTACTCTTTGCGATTTACAGGCTTCTTTGCAAAGAAGCCATCCAGCTTCATCATCTTGGATGTATCCACTTTCTTCAAGTTCTCCGCGCCTCTCGACGCCTTGGCTGGTTTCTTCACCTCCTCCCTATCCAGCTCCTTGCCCTCGTCGTATCCACCCTTATTCGAGCGAATGAGTGTGTCTGACTGATGCGTCTGCTTGCTCTGCTCGGCATCGAAAGCGTCGAGGTCGGGTGTGGTGTTGTGTTGTCTGACAATTGTGTGCAGGGAGTATGGCACGTTATACAGCACACACTCGACCATGTTCCTCTTGTACGACTCTGCAGGTAATCGTAGTCAGCGGGTGCACTCACCACTAACGCATACACCTACGCAGCGTCAGTTCCGGCGTCAGCAGGTGATGTGTGGGCGGTTCAACGCATTTGATATCACGCTGCGCGACCACTGTGCTGAGACATCTGGCTATCTTGGCATCTAAATACCCCAGATACCGCGGCTCGCTCAGCTTGTACACCATTTCATCCGCCGCTAGCTCCTTGCTCTCGCAACACCGCTCCAAACCCGCTTTAGCAGCGTTAGTGTGCAGGAGCGGGAGAATGTCGCAGTCTGTGTGCGCATTCCGCAATGTATCGGTAATATCTTCGAATCGACTGTATGTCTGGGTGTATTTGGTGTTAGAAAGTATGTCTCGCAAGGCCTGCGCACCTCCACTCACACTCCTCGCGTGATCAGGCACCGACAGCAACAAACTTGCAACGATGAAAGTGGGATCGAGCGGTGTGGCAGTAATGAGCCGTGGGTCTATATAGCGTGTTTGTGAGCTATAGCTGTGGCACCCGCCAACGCCCACCCACCTGCTACTATTAGCTGGTCGACGAACCAGCATCTGTCCTCCTCATGACGCGCCTGTGTAGCGTGCATCTCATAAAGCCTGTCTGAATCACTCGACACTGCCACCAATATTCTTTCCTGAGTGTTGAGTGGACGCGGCACACGCACAATCGACGCGCAACCGCGCTCATTGAAGCAGTCTGGAGCGTGTAAGTGGGAATCTTTATATCCACCCTCACACACCTTCCGGCAATGCTATCAACTTGTGCGCCATTTCTCGCTCCTCGCCGTCGATGTGTATGCCGGATTAGGAAATGTGAGGGAGCAATTTAGCCATTTACAATTTACTCCGCAACCGTCTCCTTCTTATTCACGCACCATGCTCCTTCGTCTCCCCCTCATCGCGTCGTGTGCAGCAGCCATTCTCGCTGCGCCCACCAGACGCATCCTCGATGACAAAACGGGTGGGCAGCGCGCGTCACTCTAAGCAAGCAACACTCAAAATCCTACAGATGACGGAAAGGGTATTCTGTTCTTGAACACACGCGAACAACACGAACAGCACGACAGTCAACCAGACTACTCCGCGCAGTTGCTCACCAACAACAAAGTCAGCGTGCTCAAAAGACACGACGACGATAATGGGCTTCTTGATGTGCACATCCTGAAGCGCATCCTCGGTTCAAATGGCGGTCATGACGGCGAGGGCGATATTCTCGGCGTTGATGTGCTTAGACGCACGGAGGACCTCACTGACTCTTCAGGGACGATCGACGTTGATCTTCTCCAGCGCGCTATCCTGGGTATCGGCGGAGAAGGCGATAGCGAACGCGATTCAACGCTCGGTCTCTTTGGCCGCATCCTAAACGACAGCGGCAATCACAATGACGAGCCTTTGATTGGTCTACTCAAGCGTGGTGCGGCACTCGGTCTTGGCGACACTGGCGACGGCGCTGAGCTGCTCGATGTCCTTAGACGCGGAGGCCTCCTCAGCGACCATAACGACCATAATAATGCAATTACCCTGGATGTTGGCAGGAGAGGCATTTTGCTCAACGACGGTAGCCCTGACTTGGCACACGTTGGTGTGAGATCTGTCGATGGCAACGGTTTGCTTACCGACGATGCTCATGACCACGACGACGATAATAAACTTCACATAGGCGTTAGAGCTAATGAACAGTACTCAGAGGAATCCATAGGCCTCAGAGTCATCGACAAGCGTTCAGATGATGAGGTGTTGGGTCTCGATCTTGAAGTGCGTGGAGAAGATGACAAATCAGATCTCTCTCGCAGGGTATTGGGCCTCATCGACGGAGGTCACGAAAGAGACAACGGCAACCTCAAGGTCGACAACCCTGTTGGTCTCAAGAGATTAGCGGCAGGCACTTGCGTCTTGAATGGCTGCGACACTGGTGGAGGTGTCATTGGTCTTTGATATGCTTTACTGTGCCTAGGGAGCATAATCTGCTAATAAATTTTTCACATCTTTGCCGCTCAAACTGCAAGACATTGTACTAATTAAAATTGGAAATTATAATTTATCTACTTAATAATCCGCTTTACAAATGCTGCTTTGGTTTCTGATTCTCCATGTCTTTAGTTTTAACCAACGTAGTGTCACTCGATGCTGTCGTTGCTGGGAGATGAATTTCTCCTTTGCCCTCATCTTCCTCTTTTCTAAAGCCCTTCTTATTCCCATCACCCTTCTCCTCGCCATCCTCCTCCTCTTCACCTTCCTTGATATTTTTCACATCCAGGGTATACTTCTTGATGGAGAGGGACGCAAGGAAACCTACAGCTATAACGCATGATGTGAATATGTAGTTCGTCGAGATAGCTTTTGAATACGCCTGCTGCACTGACATTCGAAGATTTTCCGAAATATCTGCCTCTTTCAAAGATGCAATTTCTGACATGTCAGCAAAACGCTGCCCACCGTCAATTTTCGACAGTCTCTTTACCGCTTCAGTGTGCATAATCACTCCACCTAGCGAGATACCCATTGTGCCCGCAAGATCACGCACGAATGTGAAGGAAGACGTAGATGTGTTGGTCTGCTTCAGCGTCATACACGCCTGTAAAGCTGTGAGAGGTGTGCTGAACAAACCACCATTTCCAACAGCCATAACCAGCAAATACACAATCTGCTTTGCCAGCGATGACTTGGCATCAAGGTTGATAACTAGTGCATTTCCAACGAGAAAAAAGATCCAGCAAAACCATATAATAGGCCTGTAACGCTTAAATTTTGCCAGTAAATAGCCATACAGAATGGACGCGAATGATGACCCAAATGCAAATGGGATAACGTGTAATCCTGCAAAAGTAGGCGTACTCATCTTGGCATATTGAAAATACAATGGAAGGTAAAATCCACTAATGTAAAAGGCCAGACTATGCGCCGCACATCCTATCAGAATGGCTGTTGGTGTTATTGATTTGAATAGTCGCGGCGGTACCATCACAGACACGCCTTTCTTCTCCGCTTTGATTTCCCAAATTCCAAATGTGATGAGCAAAAGCCAACCAATTATCAGGAGGGAAATCGTCGCCGCGTGCTGCCAAGACAGCGATGACGCCAAGGAGAAGCCCAACAAAACACAGACAGCCCCACCCACAATCAAGATCAAACCAAGGTAGTCAAACGAGTTGAACTTCTCCTTAAATGAGGCGTGTGGAGGCTGGCTAACGTTGAGAAAGAAGAATAACATTGTGAAAGCAATCGCCGATGTGGGCAGATTGATCCAAAAGCACTAGAGATGTTGTGAGATTGGGTAATACAACAGAAAATGCACCCACCCAAGACCACGACGTGTGCTCTGCTATTGCTCCTCCAATCAGTGGACCGATGGCATTGCTTAGAGAGTGCACCAGCCCTACTAGCGAATTCACGAGACCTCTATTCTGCAATGTGATAATATTAGATATGATTATCTGCGTTGAGACCCTCATCATGCCCCTTCCAAGTCCTTGTAGACCTCGAAATGCTATTAACTGCTTCATGCTCACAGAAGCCCCACATAGTCCCGAGCTCAAAACAAACAGTGCGATCCCAGAGTATAGCATTGGCTTCATGCCCATTATATCCGTCATTTTGCCAGTTACAGGCCCCACGACCGTGCAGGTCAGCAGATAGATGGTGCCAACCCACGAATAAGCGCTCTGGCTGCTCGAGTTGAGGTCTTTGGAGATGGTATTTAGAGAGACGGAGACTATTGTGCTGTCTAAGCTGCCAAGGAAGGTCACGAGGAGAAGAGCCGGTAGACATAGCCAGAGGTTGTTCTTTGGGAGGACATGCACCTCCTCGCTCCTTGCAAGTTCTGAGCTTTCGCCAGACTCACTGTGCTCATCCTTGGACATGGGGTATGAGTCTTAAAAGTCATAGCGACGTAGTTATGTACATTCCGAACTAAAGTCGGCTTCTTCGATGGAAGCAACGGCGAGTGAAATCGGTGGTTGTATCGGTGGTCGAATCCCTGCAATCTCTCTGCATCGCTGCCGTTGCCGTGATATTCTAAGCCTGCGATTGGTCTGCCATGCGGAAGCTGATAGATTGTCAAACTGAGGTTCGGCGTTTCAACATGACTTTAGAGCTACTCAACGTAAATTCAAAGTATTGTGGAAAATGATATACATCGTCGTTGGCGTTTAGGAGGAGTTGCAGAGATTGATTTCACGCTATCAGTCCGCCGAGATGCGTGCAGAAGTGCGAAATGTTTTAAAAACAGCAATGAGTCGTGGAAGTGATAAGAGGGACTGCATTAGGAGTTCTATTACCGCAAGCGAAGCCTCCAAGATTTGAGAAGCAGCGGCAGAAGAAGTTTCACTAGCACTAAAAAGCGTCTTTCTTACCGCCAGCCATGATAAAAGAAGCTCTAATGAGCTTCATAGCAGCCACTGCGGCTACTTCTACGTATCAGCATCGCATTGCAATAGCTAGAGATATAGGTATGAATATTGCCTTCAATACCCTCGGAAATGCGATGCTAGAGGGCTCGCCAAAGGTTTTCTACGGATTATCACCGGACAGCTTGATTGCGCAGGCCAATGGCACATCATCATCTTACGCGACAGCCCGAAGCACCACACACAAAGTCCCTCTTCGAAATCTGGAGCCGGACACGCAATATTATTACCAGTCATGCTTAGATGTTGATGGAACCTGCAAGCGCTCGCCAACATACTCTTTCAGAACGACTGTCTCACCTGGCGACAATCGCGAATTAAAGTTTGCTGCTCTAGGGGACATGGGGGTTATGGGTCCTTTGGGTAGGTGTTTTGCAGGACTTCTATTATAGCTCCCAAATATCTAATACATCTATCACACAGGCCTTTCAACTGACGCACCGAAAAGTGTCGAAGACTTCGCACGATTGGATGAGGGGGAGCGTTCGACAATGAAAGCGCTCATCGACAACCAGCACAAGTATCTGTTTATATACCAGAATGGCGATTTTGCACACGCTGACGATGTTGGAAGGGTGGGTTTCGCGATGATATGGAGTGTGAAGATTAATTGTCTTATAAGAGATCGTGTCTGGATATCTCAATAGCATACTTGATGTGTCGCTCTTCCAGCAGATGAGTGAGACGTACGAGCTGATTCTCGAAACATTTTTCAATCAGACGTCACAATTTTCAAAAGGAACACCGTATATGGCAGGGATAGGCAACCACGAGCAGCTTTTAACTAAAGGCAATACATACACAGACCCAGAAACCAACCACACGATTATGGTCGACAATATACCTCAAGGACAGCGCAAGTTCACGTTTTTCAAGGACAAGTTTTATATGAACGGTGAGGAGAGCGGGTGACTGACCAATTTTTGGTGGAGTATGGAGGTGGGACCGATGAATTTTATCCAAATCAACACGGAAACAGACATAAAAAATGGTGTTCCTCCGCCAGGCACGAGCCGCGATCCTGAGCAGGAAGACCTCGGCGAGCCCAACGAGCAGCTCGAGTGGCTGGAGGGTGAGCTCGGGAATTTCAATAGGGGTGTGACTCCGTGGATCATAGTTTGCGGCCATCGTCCGTGGTACGGAACATACCGAGGATGTCCCGGCTGCATGGAAGTGTTCGATCCGCTCTTCGTCAAGTACGGCGTCGAACTTGTATACCACGGGCACATTCACTTCTATGAGCGACTCGCGCCAATGGTTAACGACAATGTCGACCCGAAAGAATTAGGCAACCCTAAAGCTCCATGGTATATCGTCTCAGGTGCTGCTGGACACTACGATGGGCTGGATGCGATGGCAGACAGCATTTCAGACGAGTCTAGGAGGCTTATACAGGGTGCATTTGGGTATGACGAATTCACGATTCACAACAGGATCCACATGACGCATGCTTTCATCGCGTCGAAGAATGATACCGTGCTCGACCAGCAAACGCTGTACAAAGCCCATGATGAGTTTGGGAGCGAATTTTAAACCATTTGGGATGTATCACTTTTATTACGTACACGTTTGATCAGCAGTCGCTACTGTAAACTGATAGAAAAGCGTTAGTAATTACAAAAAAAAAAAAAAAGAACACACACACACACACACAATGAACATTGAGTGATCACGCAGTGGTTTATAAGCATTAAGTTCAATCAATCTAAATGGTACAAAACAATTACAATAGCTGGGAGGGGGAGGGGAAGACGAGCGCCAAATTATTGACCAAAACCGTAAAGCACTCTTCCTTGGCGCTTGAGGGCGTAAACGACATCGAGAGCGGTAACAGTCTTTCTCTTAGCGTGTTCCGTGTAAGTGACGGAGTCTCTGATGACGTTTTCCAAGAACACCTTGAGAACACCACGTGTTTCTTCGTAGATGAGACCGGAGATACGCTTTACACCGCCACGACGAGCGAGACGACGGATAGCTGGCTTTGTGATACCCTGGAGCTTGTTAGATGGGACTTTGAAGGATAGACTACCAACTCACTTGGATGTTGTCTCTGAGAATCTTACGGTGGCGCTTGGCACCACCCTTTCCTAAACCTTTACCGCCTTTTCCTCTTCCTGACATTATGACTAGAGTTGTTGATGGAGAAGATGAAGGAGGCGCGCTGACTATTTATCCATTTGGATCGCGCGAGAAAGATCATGATCAGATCAGATCAATTTTTATTTGTATAAAACGCGTGATGCTAACGTTCAAAGTAAACAAATGTAATATTAAAACGTATCACCTGAAAGCTAGATTTTTTTGCTGCTAGAGTATCTTTTTTATTTTACTCGCTCCTTCTCTTACAATCCACCACCTATTTTAGATCATTTGCGCTTGATCCAAAATGGAAAATAAATCAACTACGCGCGCCTATAAAACGCGTCCATAGCATTTCTTTCCAAAATACCAACCATCTCCAAATAATATAAAATGGCCAGAACTAAGCAAACAGCCCGCAAATCCACAGGTGGTAAGGCCCCACGCAAGCAACTCGCTACCAAGGCAGCAAGAAAGACAGCCGCCCCACAAGCAGCCGGAGGCGTTAAGAAGCCACACCGTTATCGTCCAGGTACTGTCGCCCTCAGAGAAATCCGTCGTTACCAAAAGTCGACAGAACTCCTCATCCGTAAACTCCCATTCCAGCGTCTCGTCAGAGAAATTGCCCAAGACTTCAAGACAGACTTGCGTTTCCAATCTTCCGCCGTCATGGCCCTACAGGAAGCCAGTGAAGCTTACCTTGTATCCCTTTTCGAAGACACCAACCTTGCTGCCATCCACGCAAAGAGAGTCACCATCCAACCAAAGGACATCCAACTTGCCCGTAGACTCCGCGGCGAGCGTGTCTAATCGCGTGTCATGACCAAAAACAAATCCTCAAATGGAATATTGTAATTATTGTTCTGTACCATTATGCACCATTAGAATATGAATGTTTCAAATTATTGAATTATTATGGCATATACGAATTATTTTACATGTTGTTTCGTCATCAACATTAACTCGAACTAATATCTTGCGAGTGCCAATGTAGTCTTTTGGTTGTTAGAACTCACTTCTTCCGATTTCCCTTTGAATATGATTAGTCGCTGCAATCGCAGCAAAGCTAAGTGAGTCCTTATGAGGCTGTGAATCCAGTTTTTATCGAGGAATACAAGCTCAGTATTTAAAAAAAAAAGATAATTGAAAAAGAATCTTTGCGTGAAAAGTGAACTGGGTTTATACCAAAATTGGAGGAATTTAGAAAAGATATCTTAAAGCTCTATTATTTCATCATTCAATACTATTAAATCCATTGTATCGATGGTGATTTTGACGTCATGATTGCCCACTCGGAACAAGACAGTTTGCTTTGTTTCAGTTTAATCGTATCTACGCATTGCAGTGACCTAACGTGGCCCTTTCAAATTAGGCACTAACGATTCAAGGTTTTTCGTTTTCTAGATAGCAAACTACAGCCTCGTGATAGTCCTTGATACGTTTATAGCGGTAAGAGAGTTAAAATGAACCCCAAATCTCCTTGTATTAGCTATACTATCGTAATTTGAGATGCTTACCTTTACTCACTTGGTAACTTCTCTATTTCTATGGGAGCTGAGAGCCTCATAGTGGAATTTATGTAGAAATCTATTTGCCGTCTCACCATAGAAGCGTTTTTGTTCTTCTTTTACTACCTTTTCGATATTATCACCGCTTTTTTTCCATGTCTGATAGATATTCTTGTTAAGTCGCATAATTGAGCTGAAGGATTTATTATTTATGCAGAGGTGCTTGAAGTCTTCAGCAGCGAAATATTCATAAGTTTTCTCATGTTAGCTCCTCTTTTTTTCCATGCTGAGAAATTATTATCTGCGTTAGGTGTCTTTTCGGAAATGAGGTGAAGTGAGATGAATGGGAGGCACAGGCACGAATCATTACATTTCATCCATTTCTGAGTGCGTGTAATAAATAGCAAGATGTTTTACACAGAAATACAACGCGCGACACTCAGGTCAGAGTCTCAGACCAAACTTATTTACATCTCATTATCTTTGTGCATGCAATTTCAAACATATACTCTATGAATAGTCTATATTCCAACTGACAGAGTGGTTGCCATGACCAGTGTCGAGTGTCTATCCCAAATTTCTTGCACTTTGACAAGCAAGGCGGCGCAAGTTCTACTCTCAGGGGTACTTTCGAGCGACTCGTACGCCGTCTCGGCCCAACGTCTCAGCAGCGGCAGCTTGGAGCTTTCCGCGAGAGTTCTCCCACCATCAATATCGTCCGAGAGACTGACGAGCGCGAGAGCGACACTGACAGAGTCAGCGATGACATACTGGGGTAGAGCCAAAACCAGCTCAAGCGACTCGGGAGCGAGAACGTGCAAGAACTCTGGAGCGTTTCTCGCAGACCATAGCATCACAGCGAGCGTGCGCAATAGTGGCCCTAAAAACTCCTTGTCCAGCTTGATGCTGACTTGCTGATTGAGTGCGAACCACATTTCGTTAATGAGCGGCATCACAAAGTGTTCACTGGCAATATGGTGGAATTTAACATTCTGCACCCTCGACTGGCGATCAACGATTCTGTACTGCTCCAGTGCGTTCGACGGAGTGGGTGTGGTCTCGGAGGAGTACCTCTCCACTATAAGCGGCTTCGATGGCTTGTCAGATCCAACTCTTAGCTTCCTCTCTCGAGTCACGCTGGGGACTGCCTCGCCAGCTTTTGTTCTCGCGTCTGATATGCTGGCCTGTGAGAACTCTTTGAGAATGTCCTCGATCTCAGAGTCGTTGGCTACTTTCGCTGGGATTGCTTTCTTGGTTAATGGTGTGGTGGTGTTGGTGATTTTTGTGGATGTGCCAGTGGAAAGCTCGCGCACGCCTAATCCGAGAGCGTGTAGAGCGGTCAAGCGCTGTCTGAGTGAAAGGGATGTGCTGAAGAGGTGCTGTGTGAGGCATCTGGTAGGCTGTTAGGGAAGTTCAAAAGTATACACTACCACTCACAATCCTGCTCGCTGAGGTGAACATACTACAAGCACCCTCAGAGACTCGCTTCGTAGCTCCTCAAAGTCGCTCAAAGCAAATTGATCCTGAAGGGTAAGCAGAGTAAAAGTGAGGTTGTTTGAATTCTCGAGCAGCTCTCTATGCTCCCGCTTATCGTTGATGAGCGCAGCTGCCCACTTCAATGCCACTTCCTGCGACACTGCCGCCTCATTACCCTCCTTGCCGTCATGCCGCAGCATATCGTTCAGCTCTGCAATGTATACAGGTCGACCTATTTTACGCTTGGAGAGGATTGTTGGATCGTTGGCTGCTTCCTCGTCGTCGCTGTCGGGTTTATTCACTTGAGTTTTATCCTCATCTATCTCATAGCCCACTATCGAGTCGTCGTCACTGTCGCTCTCCTCTTGCACCTCTGGAGAACTGCTTGTTGAAGCTTCCGGTGGCTGCTCGATAATAGGGTCAGGGACGCTGCCATCGTCGGTCTTTGCTCTATTCAACAATTCAATCACACCTTGAATCTCCGCCCTGCCAAGACCGCTGCCTGAAAATGCGTCCTCACCAAATACCAGTCTGTCGACACCATCAAAGTTGGCCAGATGTTGAGCTACCAGCATACCGAGCAACTTGCTGAATGGGTTGGGAAGGGAGAGATAAGTGGGTATTGCGTGTGTAACAATGCTTTCGTGCATCAGGTTTCTTGGTATATGTCTCTTGACGCCATTCCTTTGTATAAGCAGGAGCAGCATTGTTGAGTATAAAGTGAGTTGTGCGACTGGTGCCTTCTTAATGAATCTGGTGTTAGTCCAGACCTCCAGTATACCTCTGAATATGGTGAATGAATGAGGCGACAATGATATCCAAAGTGTCAGCGAACGCATGATCATCTCGGCAGCCAGAACTCTACTTCCGCCGACTAGGACGCTAGTGATGGTGTCCAAGGTGCTTTCGTCTATCTCACCAAACAAAGAAGCAAGTATCCGTGCTATATCTTTGACATCTCTATTTGAATCTCTCACAGCGTTAAGAAACTCTTCAAAATACGTAGATAGCTGAGTAGGCGTGAGGTCCAAGAGCATTAGTCTAATTCTCTCATAGCATTTCTTGTGCTTGTCGCAATATTTAATAGTCACGCTCCAGAAGTTGTTGAATCTCTCACTGTATCGCACGTAGCCAAGCAGATGGAGTCGTTCAAGGGGATAGCTAGAAACTTTCGAGGATGGTGATGATAGAGTTGAGAGATAGTCCCGAGTGAATTTGGCTGTAAAGTTGCTGGCAGCCGCGTCAGCAACTCGCAGCAAATGGATAAGACACCCACTCTGGTAAAAGAATAGACGGGATGGGTATTTTCGCGAGAGATAAACGATCACTGAGATTGGATATGCGCGTTGGCAGGCGTAGAAGGGCATCCACGCCATCGTCGTCTTGTGCGTTCTTGTAGATGTTGATGTTGATGAGGAGCAGCTCAAGCAAGAGGATTGCACAGGTAATGTTGCTTAGCGGCGAATCATTAGAGAGGTGTCTTGAAATCTGTTGCGCTGTATCCTTCAATCTGGACTCTGCGCTGCTAATCAATAGCTGACGCAATTCCTGGTCGTTGCCAAGTTCGTCGAGAAGAGAAGGCAGTAAATTCTGAAGTCTATCTACGTAGACTTTGTCTGAGAGTCCCTTTCTCAGCTCGTTCTTGTAGTTAAAGAGGTGGTGCATGGCTGGTGAGATGATGATGGTCCAGCATCAAGGTGGGTGCCTATGAGTGCCGTAGATGTACAGACAGCTACAGAAGCCATCTTGCCATCTAATCGATAATTAATTCTGATTACAATACCCACTTGAACTCCTCCCGGATATGAATCTATCCGAGAAGTCTGAATCTAGAGGGAAACCCTACGAGGCTAAAAGCTAACTTAATTTAATGCCATAAATAGCAGCAGTATTTCAATCGCTTTACAAGCCTCACAAGCCTCACAAGCGCCTATCAGATGTGATGTACCTCCGAAGCAAATTTATTCGACGCATAAAACATAGAAAAAAAGAGCGGGCAGTGGAGATACAAATGGAGTGGTAGATTTGCACAAATCATTGGAATATAAATATCGATATTCATTTTTTATTTTCTTGCTCTTCTCAATTTTGATCGAAAGAAGACAGTTTTCTCCACCACTACCAAGTTCTAAGATGGTTAGCAGAGTGAACATGTTAAATGACAATCTAACGATTTCGTTAGCCAACCCGTTTGCACAAGAATCGTAGATCACGTGGTCACGTAAGTTTGGATATTCGTTCAAGGGGTTATTGCTGACAGAGACCACAGGTCAGCGCTGGTCACGGTAGAATTGGTGTAAGCAGGCTTACAAGCTATACTGGAAATTACTAACTGTAGTAGAAACACCGTAAGCATCCAGGTGGTCGTGGTTTAGCTGGTGGTCAGCACCACCACAGAACCAACTTCGATAGGTACCACCCTGGTTACTTCGGTAAGGTTGGTGACCGTCACTACCACCTCAAGAACAACGTCTACTGGAGACCAGTCCTCAACATCGACAAGATCTGGACTTTGGTTTCCGAGCAAGACAAGTCTCAAACCGAGAAGAGCAGCGACTTAGTCCCAGTCGTCGACACTCTCCATCACGGTTACGGTAAGGTCCTCGGTAAGGGTAGACTCTCACAGCCAGTCATCGTCAAGGCCAGATTCGTTTCTGAGCTTGCTGAGAAGAAGATCAAGGAAGCTGGTGGTGTTGTCGTTCTCACTGCTTAAGAACAAGTTGTACAAACTAAATATATGAGCTCGCTTTTGAACGTCTTTTCCATTATTTGAGTGTGATGAAATTTGTGGTCTTGGCCAAATTTGCGAGGGCCGATAGTTTGGGCTTGTATTAGTCAAGGATTCTTGTAACACTTTCAGAGTGTTATAAAGCTACTGAAAATGTGTTGAAAGCTTCTCTAGTTCCAATCCACTGTCAAATACACCATAGGTGGTCATGTATCATGTAAAGTACTTTAAAATCAATCATTCAGCCGCTTCAAAATCTCAAAGCTTTGACAGTTATAGGCCCGCTAATCTCAAGTTGACGCATAACATATATATTATATTCAATATTTTCTCAAACGCTGCCAAAGCGTGATTCTAATTTGTATCAACGTGAAAAGCATTAACTAACATGTACCTTGAATTCACTCTTTCACTACCCGCATCAATCTCTTGAGACTGAAGCTAATGTCAAGACAGTAATTTCCTTGTTCAAAGGCCAGCGACTGTCATCTATTCATAGCCCAATTTGTTGATCGGCCACAAAAACTAACGTGAATCTCACACGCAATATAGACAGTGACGCACACCCAGAATACAAAGCCTTACTTATATTTCCAACCTTGATTTATCTGCAATTTCAGCCAAATTATTTGGCAATATCACCAAATGACGAGGTGTGATGATAGCAGAGGAGGTATCAGCCCAGCGGTGTATTTAAGAAGCGCATTTTCTTTGCTCTTCCTTACATATCAGCATATTACAATGTACTTCAACAACGCCAAAATTCTAACCGCTTTCGCCTTCACTGGCACCATTGCATCAGTGGCCTCAGCTGGCAACATCTCGCGTGGTGGAGATGAAAAGGATCTTGAAAACAAGCACCAAATTCATGGTAAGGGTACCAATTCCAAGAACGACGACAACCACGGCAAATACGATGAGCAGGACAAGCTATCCCATGAAGAGGCGCTCAAGAAGCACAGCGAAGAGGACGAAAAGCAGATCAAGCTGAACAATGAGGCTGCTAAGAAGAACAGAGTGGATGTCAAGGTTGGTTGTAGCGATGTCTAGTGAAAATTAGCTAACAGATTATCAGAACCAGAAGATAGACGAGTACTGGAAGTCTGACAAGAATGACAACCAATACGAAAACGATTCCCGCAACATGAAACATGACTCCACCAAGTACGAAAGCGACAAGAAGCATGACTCTGGCCAGCACGACAACGACAAGAAGCAGGGTGCAGATGCAGGTGCAGGTACTGACAAATACGAGACTGTAAAAAAAGCAGCTAATCAACACGGCAACAACCGCGATTACAAGGATGATTACGAGAAGGACTACAAGAACGATTTCAAAGGTGATAGCCACCACAACAAACACAACAAAGAGTCATACAGAGGACAGCTCAGGCAGCACCAAAAGGAGTTGGAAAAGCTGCTCAGGGAATATCAGAAGAAAGCTGATGGCAACAATTATGCCCACAATGTTGGTAGAATTATCTAGTCAACGCACTCAACTCACCTTCTCTAGGATGACAAGAAGGATGATAGCAAGTCTGAAAGCTACTGGATGAGTAACAAAGGCCACAAGGATCAAGAATCTAGCAAGCACGATAACACTGAAAAGAACCAACACCACCACTACAACACTGGTAAGAAGAATGACTCTCACCATAACTACAACGACAAGAAGAAAGGTGCTGCTGCTGGCAATTACGATACTGGTGAGAAGATGCTAAACATCGACAAATACGTAAACCATGACCCAGGCAAAAAGAACGAAAATCAGTACGGCACCGGCAAATATGACGACAAAAAGGATAATCATAAGTACAACGACCCGCTAGATGATAAGAAATACTAAGCTTCGCTGAACGTAGGCTTAAGTAATTGTGCATTCTCTTTCATGCATGTTTGACATCTCTTTACACACCCTCTCCAGCACCCGTTGAGCGAGAAGAACATCGTGGCACAAATAAAATTGATTGAGAGATGGTAAACATTCGGATGTCAAAAGCAATAAAGCATCGCATTTGGCTTCAAATTTGTGTTCTCAGTCTTTTTCTTGCCCTAGAAAAAAACCTTTTCTCAAAAAGGCCATCATTTTCATCGGCATCGACAACAACAGAAAGATAAATGATTTTGAGAGACAAGCGGTATTTTGATTATATTATTGAGACCTTTTGTGTAAACGTCTTGGTCTTTGTGAGGTGAAACTGTTAAGGTTTGGGCTT